CTACCCCGTGGGTAGCTGATAGTATAACGGAAGCAATCAGCCGAATTTGGTTTCTTCAATGAAATCAGTTTTTTCTCAGCCTTGGTACTTTATAAAATTCAAGGTTATCCAAGGGGATTCCCTCTAAAGGAGAAAACCTGTTCCCGAATACTTTCACTTGATTCTTCTTCTTCTCAGAGGATTTTTGTCTCGATTCTCAATTCCCTTCTTTCTATTCTAGATTTCACTTTCAATACCCTTCTCTCAAGAAACAAATCGTGATCCTTCAAGTTCTCTCTTAAATCTTTCTTTTCCTAGAAAAAGAAAATTATCAGAAAAAATTGATTTTTAGATTTGTTTTCAAATTGAGAATACGAGTCAAAATAGAATAATTTGAGAAAAAGAAGAAGAAACAGATAAAATTTTACTTATCATTGGGATAGAAATTTTTATCAAAGTACATACATGAAAAAGAAATTGAGCAGACAAACTTCTCATACATAAATCCTCATCTGATGTTGATTTAACCTACATTAAAGTTAAGAGTTTATGATGTTTCTTTATCAAAGCACTGGTCCAACTTTCCTCAAATATACCAAGAAAATGATGAAGAAGCTTCCTGCTAAAAATTATTATACAATAAACGAAAAAAAATAATAAAAAGTGTTTATCTCGCATCGGATGCATTTTTTTGTACTCCGATTGCAAAATATTCTCAGACACAATTATTATTATTCTTGGAAAAATTTTATAACAATAAGTTTTCACAATATTCAAGTGACACTAATTTAAAAAAAAAGTTTATGAATAAGATGAGATCAGAATCAAGTAATTTTTCTAAATTCAAGATTGAAGAAAACCTAAAACATCTATATAAAAATTTGAACGACAATTCGATCGATGTGCGTTTATAGACTAAGGTATATCTGATAAAAACGGCACAAAAATATCAAACTAATTTTAAGTACAATTTGAATGCATCAGGCAGTTATAGAATAGTGAACGCACACTGACCCCAACATGGTTATTTATAATATTTCCCGTGAAGCAGTTATAGTCAGCTAGGGTCACCAACATGACGCATCGTTCATATACTTCAGAAAATTTACCAATTTTCAAGAAAATTTTTTTAAATCTTTTATTAATAATTGAAAATAATTTTTTCACAAAATCGGAGCTTCAAGAAGAAAAACAGAAATTTTTTTGAGAGGGTAAAATATTTTTAAAAATATTTTTTTTACCCATAACAGTTTCTTTTTTAGTTACATCAAAATTTCAACGCATGAATTTCTTCTGAATTAAAAAGAATCTCTATTCATCTTTATTCTGGATATTTGTCTGATATCTATAGTCTCAAAGATTTTTTTTTTGTTTGTCCCTGACCATGACCAAAGCAAGGACATTTTTCAACCACCTTGAATGAGATGTGACCCAGAAACAACGCATCTAGAAAGGGCTTTGCCACTAATTCAAATGAATGATTAATTAATTTCTGTGAATCGATTATTACTCATCGATGATTTAATTTTCTACCCTCAAAATTTTAAATTCACGTATAAATACAAAGCAATTATGAGACACTATGTCGAATTTTATAATTTATATGGTCAAAATTTTTACAGTAAAGAATTGTTTTTTAATTTATTATTGTCTAATAGAATAAAAATTCTGTTTAAATAAAAATACTACAATGTAAAAATAATTTGGTTCAATAAAAACTTCTACTTATTATACTTGTCTTGTAAATGAAAAAAAAAATGTAAAATAAATTTTACGTTAAATGTCTCTATCGTCAACTCTTTGTTCGTTAACGTGTGCTACTGTTTCAGGAGTCAAACAAATCTCATGAATAAACATTTTAGAATATGGAAATAAATAGAATGCGCTGTCAAAGCTTTGGTTATACATTTGCCTTTCAAAATAAAATGTATTGTATAATTTTTAATTAACTCTAAACTTAGTCCTTAATTAAGATTGATTATACTAATAGATGATTATGATTTTTACTATTTATAAATTTCAAAATAACTTTCTAAAACACTAAAGAAAACTGGTAAAAAAAATTAATTTAACTTGATTGAGATTATTTTTGTGACTTAATTGAAATTAATTTAACTAAAAATGAAATTATCATTTAGCTGATAAATAATTGCATTAAATATAATATTTATAATTCAATTTCAGTTAAATAACTGATTGTTCAAAGTAATCGATGAGGAAGACTAAGATATTTATCGTTATCAGACACAAAAATACAATTCTATACCTTGAATCGATTAAATTTATATAGCAAACAGAAGTTAAATGCACCTTATCATGAAAATCATCAGGTTTATCAAATATAAATTGTGTTTAGCAACCAAAAAAATTTATTTTTATCATTTATAGATGATTATTTCTTTTTCTCTTAAATAAGTGATAAAAAAAATATCGACCATTATCAATGTTTAGGAAGAAATGTAAAATTTTGAAAAAACATTGACAAACATTGAATTTAAAATTCTACTAATATGAATTATATTAAGTTAACTCTTGTACTTGGTGTCTATTTACATATTGAATTTTGTTCCGTGAAAGTAGGCCAAGCGAGCAGACAATATTTATTTTTGGTCGATATTTTTAATTAGGGTGGAAGCAAATTTCATTGACAACAATACGAAGCAGGTATTGTGCGTGACTAACATTAATTTGACTAAAATACGTTTTCAATTTGAAACAAAACGCTAATTGCACTTTTTTTTATTTCTAAAATAAACTTTAATTTACATGTCGTTGATATTTATTAAAACGTAAATTATAATTTAAAATTTTCCTCAATTGTAATTTTTCTTTTATTGTCATTAAAATGAAAAAAAATTCAGCAAATTTTTAATGTAAAAATAAATTTTCTTTTATCAATATTACAATTTAAAGTCTGAGATTGATTATTATAAATGTGAATCAAATCGATCATGAGTAGTGATTATTTTAAATGTAAAACAAAGAAAGAGGACCGTCAACTTTTGCTATTTATTTGTAATTAAGGTTTGCAATTTTATAATACTCGTTAAGAATAATAAATAACTTACGTCTGTCTTTATCGTAAGTATATTATTAAGTTAGAAGATAATAGAAAGCCTTTGTCAAGTGCTGACAAAAGACATAAAAGAAATATCTAATAAATATTTAAGCTTCTAATGTTTATTAATTTAATTTCGTTTATGTTCAAGTGTTTATTCTATTAAAATTAATTCACTATTTATAATCAATTTTTAAAACATTCACTCTTTTCTTTACCAGTTTTCTTTGTTCATATTTAAATAAATAATTTATATTTGAATTTGAAAAAAAATGTTTATAAATAAAATTTGTTAAAAACGGACCTAATAGCTTTGTTTTAAACAACATGAATTCATATTTATCTTGTTTTTAAAGCACATATGTGAAAGGCATAACAATGAATTTGCATAATGCAATAGACATGAAAAGTTTAATTAGCCCTGGGCAAAACTTTAATTAAATTCTCCTTATTATTTTATTCCCAGTAAATAAAATTAATTGAAAAAAAGTTAACAGTATTTTAATAAGGAAAACAATGTATTTGTTTCTCTTCTATACAGTAAATTAGTAGAAAGTTAAAGAGATTAACAATAATGTAGGAAAACCAGCAAAATATTTTGTTTGTTTTTGTTTTTTAATGAGAATTCTAAATTTTCAAATTACAAATAAAAATTGTAATTTCCCTCGTTTTGGAATCATCACATTGAAAATAATAGCTCTTTTAAAAAATAGACAATAAAAATAGAAAAAAAATAATCGCTCTTGAAAAAAAGCAATGAGTTGATAAAATAAAATATATATATATATATATATTTCACAATCAAATAGAAACTGTGCAGTTTTTGTTTATACGTAACAGTAGATTACACTTTACAACCTTGGTAATCATCTTCAGTTCTTAGCAACCATGAATTAACACTTTTTTTGTAAATTTAAAATATTCATCTTTCAATGATATTTTATTCTAAATAGAAATTTTTGATTATTGAAATTTTCAAATAACGAATTTAATTTCAATATATAAATTAATTTTAATACGTAGAGAAAGAAAGATAAGATTCAAGAAAATCTAATATTAAATTTTATAAAATAGGTATAAAGTGGTCAACTAGAAATTGTAAGGCAAAAAAAGAAAAAATAATTTCCAATCGATAAAAAAAAACTAAAATCCTTTCGCTTTTCAATATTTTTTCCAAAGAATACAAAAAAAAATAACAAAAAAAATGATTCTCTTGTTATTGGAATTTGCATATCTGACAAATATTATCATCTAGTTGGAAGATAACATATCATGAACCTCACAACAACTGACAGAAAAAAACCAGTACAACAAAAAGTCAATGATAAAATCGTTGAAACATCCGCGATGTGCATTTTTTTCCCTACTCCAAAAAGTCAAATTACAATTTAATTCATTTTTCTTTTATTGTTGAATTTTCTATTATTTGTCATTGTTCGGACAATTTTTTAAATTTCTATCATTTATATTTTAATGTAAAAAAATACGATTATGGGAACCAAAAAGGTTCCAAAATTATAAGCAGAATTTCCAAAAACTTTAAGAACAATATTATACAATGAAAGTGCAAACAGAAAATTTGATGCGTTATCATTTTCGAAAATTCCTGATTTAATATCTAGGGAAGCAAATATTTGATAATAAGTTTTACAGAAAATTGTCAAAAATTCCTCCTCAATATTTAAGGGCCTACGAAAAATGTGGAAGAAGTAAAAATACAATCTAAAATATTAGCAAGAAAAAAAATCCCTATTAGAATTAGACCCGGAGAAAGGTAATGGCCGCCTTTGTCCTCGGTTGGGAATCCAGGTTCAGGTATGAGGTCGCATAAATTTATCTCTCCTTCGTGCACTGGGGTTTTCTTTCTCTCTTTTGTATAAGCTCGAGAACGAACTCACTGAGGGAGCGAGTTTTGAGCAGCGTCGGCGCGAAGCAACGTTGCCATTGCAGACCAAACCAAACCAACCAGCTCCCCACGAGGGAGTCACAGTCAGTCAAGTGGATATGCGAGTAGTCAGTTTTTATGTAGACTGCGCGGTGAATGTTTCGTTATTGTTGTTGACGCGTACGTCTATTTCAATATTTATTTTATTTATGAAAATTGACGAGATCATGTGACAAAAAAAAACCCAACAACAACAAAGAAACAACCAAGTGTTGTTATTGTTTGGGGGGAAAAAGACAGCTGCTATCATCGTCGCGATTGACCGGTCAACAAAATTGTTGCCTCTGAAACGCGACGGCAATATGTTTTCGTCTTTCGACAACTCTGGCACAAGCAACACTCTCATTTCCAGCAATGGATACTTTGCAAACGGTTAAAATTTTAATTCTACACTGGCCTTGAAAATAGGTAGGTAGACTGCTCCAAAAAAAATATATTCCCAACCAAAAAGTTCGAAAAAAAGAACTTGAAACTTATTTCCGTTTGAAAATTTTAATTTGTAAAAAAAATTCAAGACGGAAGTAAATTAAAGTTAATTTAAAGAAAGTGTTCTATAGTGGAGAAAATCAATTTACAGGTATTAGGAATGAGGGTGGTTTGGGGCCCATGGTGGTTGATCTTGGCCGGACTGTTGGTTATCGGAGAGACATCAAATATAACGAGGAACCCATTACCCAGATCGCGTATTCTCGAGAAAAGAAATATTGTATGTCCAGCTGGTTGCAAATGCGAAAATCAAGGATGGCGACTCTATTGCGAGGATCGCAATTTCATGGGTCTCGAATTATTTCCAAATGTTCGAGATTTGATTCTGAAGGATGTACGTGTATCAACGATACCAGCTGCTCCTTTAAAATTCACTCTAGACCTTCGCTATCTATCATGGACACGAAGTGCAATAAAAGCAATAGAACCCGATGCATTTCAAAGTATCGAGAAATTAGAAAATTTAAACTTAGGTGACAATCGCTTATCAGACTTTCCCATAAATATTTTTCACACACTACATTTTCTTCGCATTCTCAATTTAACTGGCAATCATTTTGTCAGCCTACATCGAACCTGGTTTCAAAATCTCGATCTCCTCGAAGAGGTTCATTTAGCTGACAATAAATTAGCCGTGATACCATATCAAGTATTCGAGCCAGCCTGGTCATTACGCGTCATTGATCTCTCCGGCAATAAATTAGTATCCCTGCCTGATCACAGTTTCTGGCCAAATAAACATTTACAGGAACTCGATCTCTCATCAAATCGACTCAAAAGACTACCATCGCGTCTCTTTTCGGGTCTCTCGAATCTTCGAATTCTAGGATTAGCAAACAATGAAATTGACGTCCTACCAAGAGGTTTCTTTGCCGAATTAAAGAATCTCGAACAACTTGATTTATCAGGCAATCCAATAAATCGTCTCATCGATATCACCTTCCAGGGTTTGACAAATCTCCAGGGACTAAGTTTGAGTCGTACACAAGTCAATAAATTTCCACCCGATGTTTGGAAACCCTTGTCAACATTGAGAACACTATTAATAGAAGACAATAAAATTGAAATCATCAATAATGGAGATTTGTTTAATTTAAAAAATTTGGAATTTCTCAAAATGACAAATGGTCCCCTACGTGAAATTGGTCTAAGATCATTGGATGATGCGCCCAATTTAAGAAAAATTGATCTTCGCGATAATGATCTCACTTTTTTACCAGCAAATTTAGCGAGTCTGACGAAACTCGAGGAATTACAATTACAAGGCAATCCATGGGCGTGTGATTGTCGAATGTTTTGGTTTGTTCGTTGGGCTGAGAATCATGCACATAGAACGGCATTTGATTCGGGATTGAGATGTGGTCATGAAACGGCAACAATTGATACAATTCAAGCTCTGCGTTATTTAAATTGTACACCACCAACACTTTGGCGAACATCTGGCAAGGAACTTCATATTCTTCGTAATCCAGTTCTACTTGAATGTGAATTTAATGGAAATCCAGCGCCTGCCTTAACATGGGTCACACCAAAATTAATTACATTTCATTGGAATCCCGATCCTGCATTTCCTGACACGTTCGTTCAACATCCACAAGCGCATCTTGTTAATGAACCAGATAAACCATTTACAAATGATAGAATACGCTTACTTGAAAATGGCTCACTCTACATTAGTCATTTGCTCAGAGAGGACGTTGGACTTTATAAATGTTTTGCAATGAATCCAATAGCCAATTCAACTACTTATGTTACTCTTCATATGGATCCAGTTACTTATTACAATATTAAAATTCTCAGTATCATTGTGGGTGCTGTGAGCGCAGCTGGATTTCTCCTTCTAACAATATTCGTACAATTTTTAAGACATCTATTTTTCAAGTAAGTATATTATTTTTCTAACCTGCTAAAACAGAAAAACAAATATTTCATCAATTTTCTCTAACAAAATCGCTAAATTTTCCTATTTAATAGAAATAATTTTTTGAGAAAAAATAGAGAAATAGAAAAACTTTTGAAAGTAAAATATCAAATTTCTCTATTTTTTTTAAACAAATAATTATAATTTTTTTTCTATTTTTAAAATTATGATAAAATTCCTTTATTTTCCCAATTAATTTCAAATTTAGGTTTCTTTTGTTAGTATAGGATTCATGAAAAAGTTCTAATCAACTTATATTCAATTAGACTCTTAACGTCACTCCATTTGATTTGCTCTTTCATTTAGCCTCACCCTCGATAATTAGTATTTAACAAGGATGTTCATTTTAATCTTTTTAATTCATTTACAGTTAAATGACTTTTGACAATATTTTAAAAAATACCTGTAATTAATTCTTTTTCGAAAAAAATACAATTCATTTAGATAAATATCCCCTATTTCTCATTTACAAAACAAAGACGAAATATTGAGAAAAAAAATTCAAAGAATCATCAAAATGATTAATTTTTCTTTTTTTATTTTTGAATTTGTTACAGGTGCGGTTTGGCAAAATGGTGTCTTTGCTGTAGGCACGTGGGTGCAACACCACGCGCAAAACAGATTTATCAGATGCTGGACAATATTGAAAATTACAAGAGTCAGCAACTTGAGAGGTTACGAGAGAATTATACCCAACAAGTGCACAGAATTAAGGACAATTGCGCTCAGCAGGTGGAATGGATCAGAGAGAGTTATGAGGGTCAAATGCGTCACATACGTGATATTCGGGATTATGGACAAAGTCACCTAACAACACTACGTGATCAATATTACGAACAGGTAATTTTCAATTTCAATTCAAATTATTTAATTTCAATTGAATTCCCAATTTAATTAACAAATAAAAATCTTGGTAACAAATTCTAAAAAAAAAATTTGCAAAACTAAAACGATATCTATTATTATTCGCAGGTGAAACGTGTGCGTGACTATTCAACAGGTCAATTGAATTGGGTGCGTGAAAATTATGTCTTCCAACGAAACAAGATAAGGAAATTTAGTGCTCATCAAGTGCTTCGTTTGCGTGAGAGTTGTAAATATCAACAACAAACATTAAATAAAGTTCTCGAGAATTTGCCAAATCTTTATTTTGACAATTGTCGAAGTGGTTCATGTGGCAAAAGTGAATCAGCAGTATTTGATCCGAAAAATATTAATTCCGCCGATCTTGATATTTATTTTAAAGCAAAACTTGAAGATCTCGCGGCTGGTGGTAGTCTCGAGGATGTTAACAGCGAATATTATACACCAACAGAATTATCATCGTCAAGTCCACGAGGACAATTTTTCCTTGAGGATATTCACATCAATTATATTGAAAATGGACCACCACCACCACTCGATCCACCGATAGGATCATCAAAATTATTTCTTCATTGTATCGAAGAATTTGGTAGTACAACGACAATTGATCAAGGTTCCGAATATGATCGACCAATGTTTCGTGGTGCAAGTGCTGAATTTCTCGCCAAAGAAATTAAATCAACACCTGAAGTTTTGAGTCTCCTTGCACCGAGCACGAGCCTTCCTGATCTACCGCGGGAGACAACACTCTAGTCTAGACACATCAAATAATCTCCATTAAAAAAACAATTTAATATTTTATGCAATTACTTCGGGTTTTTTTTATTTTTATTTTTGTGGAAAGAAGAATCAAGAAGTGTGACAGTGGCAAGTGTTTTATGATAAAACACGTGCATTGTGTGCTTCCTTGCGAGTGTCAGATCCTCAACTCCTTTCTCTATTTTTTTGATAAGTACCTGAGAGAAGTGTACAAAAAAAATGGGAGCGTTGTGCCAAGAAAACAATCATCGACAGTGTGTTTGTGTGTATTTTAAAAGAAGAAAAAGATTACGGTCAGGTTTCAATGAAATAAAATCTTTGATATTTGTCCGCTAATTCAAAAAAAGGAAGACTTCATGAAAGAGAGAACAAGAATTACAAGAGACATCCCTCCGGCAACTAATTATATATAAATTAAAAAAAGACCTTTTTTCCTCACGCATGTGTGTCAATTTCGCGAGATCGATGTTTCCTAAATCAAATTTTACTTCTATAGAGAATTTAAAAATGAACTTCTCTGATGACTGCGTGCAAGGGGCGTGATTGAAGACTGACTTTTATTTGTTTCGCATCAATTCCAAACAATGCGAATCTTCCTAAATAACAATGCTTTTTTTTCTCTCTATCATATTTCAAATATATACATAATAAAAAAAAAGCGAGTGCTAAGAAAGTTCTCTCTTCACCTCAGGACTCTCGTTAAACGAGATTATTACTCTCTTAACTTAGTGCTTTTAAGATTGTTTGAGAATTGAAGAAATATATTTGATTATTAATAATCATTAAAATAATAATAATAATAATTACGAATTGAAAAAGACTAAAAACAAATATTAAAAATTTTAACAAACGGCAAATGTACGTAAAGTCAGTTACAAAAAATCTTTTCAGAAATAATCTATTGAACTGAAGAGATTTAGAGAAAATAAAGATTTTATCAGAAATTCTAAAAATTTGAATTTATTCAATAATAGCGAAACACTTCTCTCTCCATAAATAGTTCCTGTGATTCGTCAATTTTGATTATTGAATAATAAATTAGAATTTGTTCACAATTCAAGTACCATATAAATAAATAATTAAATATTTATTTATTATTTATTTATATAAAAAACTTTATTGAATGTGAGAAATTTCTTTAATTATTAAATGTCGATAATGTAAACTATCTGGCATCTAATTAAATGGCCTTTAATTCGCGAGGATTTGACATTATTCGCGAAATACTTTTTAACAATAATTTCTTTTATTATCGTGAAAAAAAATTTGTTAATAAAAAATAAAAAAACGTAGCACATCGAAAATAACGAAACGTTCTTTCTTGAACCTCACGATTACAAAGAGTCGTACTTATGCTTCCTTGGTTTTTATATATTTTTTCTATGTCATTTTAAGAGCTTCAAATTTAAAAATGTGCAACGCGTTAATCGCAAAATAAGTGATTTTTAATCGCACTAAACTTCTTTTTCAATTTTAATTATTTTAATTCTCGATTTTGTTCAATTTGAATTCTATCGATTCGTGTGATTTTTTTAAAAGTTTATTTCATCTAATTCAGAATTATTAAATTTGTATCATTTTAATTAAGATTTGTATTTATTTTTAAATTCAAATTTTTAAAAATTTGAATCCTCTCAATATTTGCCTCGCAATTGTATTTCAAATATATACAATATGGGAAATCCTTTAACGATTTTGGTTTTTATCAAACGATCAGTCAAGTGTGACCTTTGTTATTGGATTCCGTTAAGTTTGAAAAGTTAAAACTTCAACTCTAGAGCGTGTAGTGTCAAAGCTTTTCAAGGTTTATGTGATGTTTGTTTTGTAACAACATTTTTTTTCCTTACTCTGGGCCACATTGAATATATAAATATATCATTGAGAGCAATTGTTCAAACGCGACTATTTAATAATAAAAAAAAAACATCTTCGTATCGTAAGCATAATGTCGTAATCAAATTATTACTTACGCTACATTTTAAAATAAATATGAAAAAAAATGTTAATTACTTTTTAATTAAGTTTAAATTTGAATTAAAAAAAAAAACTAAAAAAAATTGTTCTCAATAAAACGAAACTTTTGACTAATTAGAAAAAACTAGAATTCTTTTCTATATAATAAAACAATCCACACATTTTGAACCATTGATTATGTAATGCAATTTGAAAAAAAAACAAACAAAAAATTAGAAAAAAATAAAGAAGAATTGCAAAAGGAATTACATAAAGAAACGCGTGACCATCACGGAGTATATGTGAAAAATGTGTGTTAATGTATTGTGTTAAAAATCCATAGTATTGAGATAAGTTGAGAAAGAAAAATGGAAAGGGAATCTTTATGAATATATTATATAGTGTCTGGCTTGGAGACATTTGCCTTTTTCGTTTACTTTGACGTATATAGCGATAAGTACTTTATTATAGTACATATTTTGTTGTACTACCGAAAAAATAAAGAACTATGTAAAGTTAAATATTATAAGCATCATAAAGATTTTACCGCGAGACAACTTGAGAGGAAAAGAGAAAGAGAGAGAGAGAAGTCAATGTTGACGAGAACTGAATCCCTACTACTGTACAATCAGTGTCAATGTCCAAATGATTCGTTGGGTGCTCAGATTATCTACATACAACGCAGAGAAGTATGTAATGATATTTTTACAGATTCTGTTTATTCAATTAGTGTAATCGGTGAGGGATTTCAGTGCTTGGTCAAAGAGTTTTTAAATAGAATTCTTTAGGGGAAAAAAATCTTTGCAATGTTTCGCCATTCTCACTAAAATTGCAAAAAAATAAAAATCTAGTAAAAATTGTCATCTAAAAATCAATTTAAAAAATCATTTCAATCGACTTTTTTTGTGGAATATATCAAAATTTGACGAAAGAAAAAAGCAATAAAAAGAAGAAAAAAGTTTAACGAAACTAGAACGAAGGAAAAGTGTATGAGTTTAATTCTGCACAAAATATATATAGATAAGGTGTGAGAAATCAATAGAATCGATTTACCTCTTAACAACATCGAGCCCAATTTTGTTACTTTTTTCAAAGTCTGTTTTATACATATATATGCGAAGAAAGTCAATTTAGTTGTTTATATTTAAAAGCACTATAAATTTTTAATTTACCTAAAAATTTTATTTAAACAAATAATTTTCAAAATTATTACTTATAATTTTGAAATAAAATATTTTTAATTAATAAAATTCTAATTTTGTCAATTCAATGTTTTTTCAAATAGCTAGATAATGACTAATTAGTTATTTTTATTTATTTATTTATCACTAATTAACTTTTAAATCGACATTAAATTTAATAGACAGAATATTAAACAAACTTAAGTAATTTAAAGGGGAAAGAAACATTAAAGCATTAATCACATTTTTTTTAAAAATTAATTAAAAAGTACTTCTGTAAGTTTTCAAAAATAAAATTACATATTCTAAAATGTAACTTCGATTTGTAGATGAAGTAAAAAAAAAGAAATTGAATTTACAGTAAAGTTACTAAAGTAAAAATAAAATAAATTTCTTTTTGTCTTTGCTAAAAGCTGTATGAAAATTAATAATATTAAAATTTTAAGTGCAAGTAAAAGCATGAGAGATAAAAGGAAACATCAACATTGAGAACTTAAAAGATATTTTTTATATAAAAACACTGTGATATTAAATTAAATAACTGAATATTAGTGTATTAAAATATTCAGTTGTAAAACGTAAAAAAAAAATTCAAATTATAAAATTTGTAGAGCGAAATACTATACTATAAAAATCTGTATCTGTCAATTTTAATAAACAACCATGATCAATTTACATTTTGTTTAATGTTAGTTATTCAAAAATTAACTATTTTAGATTATGTATATAATCTACATAATTATATATATTTGATAAAATTGTTTAAGCTAATTGCAAGATTTTGTTACAGATTTCTAATGAAAGAATTTCATGACTCTCTAAATAAAATTATCTTCATTGGTTTTAACAATCCCGTGTTAATAATAACAACGCTCAAGGATCCCATTTCATCATTTGATTAGATATGTATTTAAAATTTTTTAAATCTTTTAAACACATTTTATTTGATGTATCTAACATCAAATTAATAATTAAACTTTCCCTTTTATCAATAATTATAATTTTTAATTATAATTAATAATAGTGAATTATAATTAATTAGTAAACGTTAAATATAAACGATGTTTAAAGATATGATAAATATTATGAAATAAAATATTTAAAAAAAAACAAAAATTGTACATACCTTTTCTTGTGTTCTGTTCCAGACGATAACTTTGTGTCCACTGTTGATTAAATTTTTAACTATGCCGCTGCCCATGATTCCGAGTCCGAGAAATCCAAATTTCAGTGTTGAAGGCATGATGTTCTTCTCCTTCAGCGTTTGAGATAGAGTCTCCACGTCTAACGGCGGAGTCACCTGTATTGGAGAATAAAACTAAATTCCAGTTGTCTATATAATAATTTTACTCCATCAATAAAAAAACAGGAATAATAAAAATCATATATAATTTAAAATCATTTAAAGTTAATGATCTTATTATTCCTATTAAAATTACTAATGGTTGTAAGCTCCATAATTCAAATTATTTACCGAAAAAACAATTATGGAGTATTTCATTGAACCATTGACAATATAATTAAAAAATATTTCACTCATACTCTAAGAATGTTTATATAGAATGTTATAGGAATATTTATGTTTAATATTGTAATATTTTATTAAATTAAATTTATGCATTATTTAGCGAAAGAAAATTCCTACAATATTCGAAAATATCTACTCAGATATGGGATAAATTAATATTCTTAGAATTTTTTCTATAAATATTATCAGAGTAAAGATGAAATATTTCTTATAAATATTCCCAAAAATTTAAATGGAATATTACCAAGAATATGAACGGAATTTTTCATGCTATTGGTGTAAATTATTAATTAAAAAATTTATATAAAACGTTACCTTAGAGTAAATAATAAATAATTCATCAATTACTATCGACAAACCTTTCTAAACAAACAAGATTTTTTTAAAGACTTTCATCAACAGATTAAATTATTCCAAAATTATATCAAATATGTACTCTAAAACGACATTAAAAATGAATTTAAAAAAAATAAATTTTATCAATAAATAAACAAATTCTATTTGCCATAAATAATTGTTTATAATGCAAAATGAGGGGGAGTAAATTTTCATTATGGGGATAAAACTGAGGGTATACATAATTGACGATAGGGGCGCTCATATCGCACATCCTTTAGAAGATAAGTATTGGAATTTACCAAAAAACCACTGTACTTGAATCATCAGTCTTTGGAATATATTAAATATTAAAATATTTTTTTTAAATAACGAAATATTAAATAAATTTCCAATTATAAAAAAGGGAAAATATTATTCACTGATAGAAAAATAAACTTACAGGTCTGGCGATATTTGATGGCCTGTTCAATAATGTAGATCCTGATTTTCTCGATGTTGCAGAATGATTTAAAGCTGGACTAAGACTTCCTACTCGAATGCTGTTGCTTGTGCTTGACTCTCGTCTTTGTCTCTTCGCTGGACGACGAATTTCTGCGCTGTCAACTCTTTTTACTTTTGGAGTTTCCTGAAAAGACGTTACATTTCAATTAGATTAATTACAAAAAATGTATTACAAATAAAAACTAATGTCAAATAATAAAATGTAACAGTTAAAAATATCAGTAATTAATTACCAGAAATAAAATAATTAAAAACAGTGACAAAAAAAATAATAATAAATAAATAACCAACCTTGCGGGGTTTTGGAGTCTTAGGTGTTTTCTTTTCTGCTGGAAGTGTTTCATCTTTTAGCCGATCAAACAACGAGTCAGGATCTAAACCATCTTCGAAAATCTAAAACAAAAATTTACCAATTAAATAATAAGCGTGTGATTTTAAGGGAAATAGAATTTTTCTCATCTTAAAAATAAGTAAATTAAAAAGGGAATATGTTTAAATACTTGCCTCTCCTTTAGCAATAAAATCTTCTATTGCCCCAACTGCATCTTTAAATCCACTTGTCTTACTTGATTTTACCAATGTTTCTTTAAATTCGTGATAAGGCTTAATATTAGCCTCCTCTATCCATGCACTAGAAACAAAATATTAAGAATTTTTAATAATAAACGGCGAATATTAATAATCTTCTTTTTAAAAATAGAATAAACTTACTAATTATTTGATCCAAAAAAGAATATGCATTGAACAGGACCTTTCTTCGGATTTGTTGGTTTCTTCAAATCCTTTGATGGAATTGAGACCTTCGAATATTGTTAATATTAGTATGTTAATATAAAAAAATCTAAAATTTCAACCAATTGATCTTATTTTAATTGAAATTATAATTATTTCAAAAAAAAAAAAAAAAAAAAACTAAGTACCAAATAAAAAATTACAATTGTAAACAGTAAGTAAAAAATAGGGTTAGGTTAAAGTCTCCAAAACTGATTATTTAATTTAAATTTTCACTAATTCCTAAAATTATCATAGTCATGTATAAATATAGTTATTGAAAATTATAATATATAAATTATGATAAGACCAAATTAAAAAAATGTAAGTATACTAAATAAAACAAACGACTAATCAAAACAACCTTTTAAAAACCATCAACTTTTTTCATATATCTTTTAAAATAAAAATCAGGTTCATTTTTCTTAAAGTATAAAGTATTATATTAGGCAACAATCAAATTACAATTGATAAATAATTAAAATATTGAAAAAATAATAAACAAATGTCTACTCCAACAAAACAGAAGTAAAATGAAAGTAAAACATCTGACAGATAAACAAGGTCAGTATTAATTTAAGAAACAAAACAATCTTTATTGAACGTAACCAAAGAAGTAGAATTTAAGTGAAAGAAAAAATTAAAATTTATGTAAAATGAAAATGAACATAAAGAACCCGGCAAATTTAGGTTATAATTTCCACTGTCTGCGCGCCAATTTGAATTCGAAGGGCGGGTGTGGCGGGAGACGTAATATTACGGCTAAACAGCAGCATCAACAAATATAAAAACAAGAAAGTTTAAAAACTCTAAACATTCGATGAAGATTGATTGAATGAAAATAGAATATTTTAACCAAGACAGTATTGATGGTTGTACGCGCAACAGTGAAACGTGTAAGTGTGTAAGTTTAAGAGGAGCCGTTAACAAGCGGCAAATGCAACTCACCCGACCAGGCCACGGCGAGAATCCCTTCATTTTTGCCCTGAAATCCATAGAATATTTGATTAATAATTCGTCAATAATCCATGCATGGCTTTGCCTATGAAATATTACGTAATTTAAAAAGCACTTGATACACACCATACTAAATCACCTAATTTGAAAACTTCAGACATTTCAACAAAAAACTCACTACTTCTTATACACACAAGCGACTAAACACGACTGAAGCGACCGACTAGCTAGCAAGCTCGCGTCGTTTTTACTACGTGAGTCAAATACTTCCAAAACGACTCCCTAGTCATACTAGAAAAATAATTTATTTCTATTAAATACAATTGTGTTTTATTCTTTTAATTCAATGCATTATTACTAATGTCTTTAAAAAAAACATATTTTACCTTTAATATTTACCATTTTAATTGAATTTTCGGCTAAAAATAAAAATTTTAAAGTCACTTCCGCCAATTCGGATATAACTTTGTCGATAATGTAGACATTAGCCAATAGGATTAATGTCCCATTTGGACAAGTTATTGCATTTTTTTTAAATAAATAAAATAATTAATATTTGATAATGAAAAATAATTAATGATCATCATTATCATTTTATAAATTGATTTTATAAATAAAATTAATAATAATATTAAGTAAAAAAAGAATTTAAAAAAATATTTTTTTACAATTTTAAATACTAAACTGTGAATGAACGATTTTTTAACCAATAGAAATCGTTTAAATTGTCAATACAAAAATTTGACATTTTTATCATTAGAAGGTTATATGAAAATAGATTTTTGACAGCTTGACATACAGTAGTGATTTTTTTCTCAAATTGTTTAAAAAGTTTTAAAAATAATACCATTTGTATTTATATCAAAATTATAAACCTACGAGTAAAATAATTTGAAAATTAAACCGATTTGCCGTTGTAGGAGAAAAACTCATAAATACACGGCATTAAAGACTGTCAAAGATAAGTGAATTTATCCATTTTAGTTTATACAAGGATCCATCTGTCAGCCATCAAAATGTCAAGTTTGTAGACTTTTCTACATAATAAAAAGAAGTAACAGCATAATTAGTAGAAAATCAACCGATTATGGATAATAACAATCGTTCCAATTTGGTATGTCAAATATTCTTGATATAATTTCATAAATATTACAACATATTTCTTTTTAAGTCGTAAATTAATGCACATTTACGACTTCATTTAATGCTTTAAAATATAATAATTGCATGTGATTTTAGTTTAACAATATTTGTTGCGTAATTTTTGATATTGTTTTTAAACGATATTTTACAAATGAAGGAATATTAAGTAATTGACGATTATTCGATATCCTTTTTTTTAGATTAAGCTTTTATTTTGATGTTTATTTTTACATTATTAAAGAGGCACACTACATTTACTTTGCTCTTGTAGAATTTTATATTGATTGAATATTTCAAGTATTTTTTTTTTTGGTAGGAGAACGATAGTTCGGGTGAAACTTCTCACAAAGACGTTCCATCTTTGACAGTAGAATTACCTGCTGCTTCTGCTAGTGTTACTCCAAATATGACACATAATCAGCCTAATTCTGAAACCCCTACGACAGCAACAACACAAGTGGTAATGGGCTCATTTGTAAAAATAGATAAAATATCAATCATCAGTAATTATATTTATATCGATTTGGAATTTTATTTTAATAATATTTCCAATAATATTGATGATACAGTTTTATTTTTTTTTAAATGAATAATATTAAATTTTTATGTATAAATTTTATTCTTTGTTAAATAGTATAGAAATTGAAGTAAAATAGAATTCACAGTAAAATCCAATTGTTATTCTATATTTAACTATTGTGATAAAGGCCATAACATCTTAATGATTTTTAAAAAAAATTCTTATCGCTTTCTATGTAGGCAGAGGAAGATGCGATATCGCCACCGAAGCCGGATTTTTCTGCACCTCCTCCATATGATGTAGCAACTAAATTACCCAGTTATGAGGAAGTACAACGTGAAAAAACACTTCAAGGAGAAACAATTCCTCACATACATCCTCAAATTCATGTGGTAATTATATAAGATGAAATTTCTATTTACTCATTAATCTTGTAATTTTATTTTTGTTTGTTTATTTATTATAAATATTGTTTTTTAAAGCCTAGTGGAATCAGACAACAACAACCATTAACAATTCTTGCAATTGACACCGATGGAGTTGAAGGCGATGCATTGGCAGAAAGCCGAATGCTTGGTACAGATTTTATGTTTTTCACTGCTTTCTTGGGTAAGCAATTTCGATAATTCATTAATAATTAATTAATTAGATAATTAATCAAATCAAATAGTACAAAAAAATTAATAAAAACCTTCTTTCAGTTGCTTTCTTATTTAATTGGATTGGATTCCTATTGTTGATGTGCTTCTGCCACACAGTTGCCTCTCGATATGGAGCACTGGCAGGCTTTGGACTTTCATTGACAAAATGGACACTTATTGTCAAACACTCAACTGATTTAGCTTCCCGTGAAAATTCCTGGTTATGGTTCCTGATTATGGCATTCGGTAAGTAATGAATTAATACATTTTTTTTATATAAACTTTATTTAATTTAAAAAAAATTCCCTTCACAGGTGTTTTAATCTGCGTTCGCGCAATTATTCAATATTTAAATATTAAACGAGGCTGGAGATTATTGTCCGGCAGTCCTCAAGAGCATTTTCTCTTTTTTTATTAAAAGAAGAAATTCTGAAGAGAAAAATGTTTAAACGCTTTAGAGCAAAAAAAACCAGCATTTTTACTTGAAATTATACTTGGTATATATAATCAACACACTTATAGAAGAAAACATCACTCTATACCCGTAAATGATCGTTTAATGAGGAGTGGAAAGAATAAAAAAAACGAGCCAAATTTGTTACAAAAGAAAAAAAAACCAATAATAGTTTAGATGAGAACTTAGCAAGATTTATAACCACAATGAAAATGAAAACTCAAATTTAAATACGTGTAAAATTAATTTTTTATTGCTCAAAATAGCGCTTGATAAAAACAACAACAACAAAAAAAAATCATATTTCTTTTTACACTTTTTATTATAGCTTCAAAAAGTATTTGTGTAAATTGTGATATTATATCTTTTTTCCCCCCTATTTAAATAATATCGTTATTTGTCTGAACCCGATTTTAACGGATTGTGTGACTTTCTTTTTAAAATTATATTCTATTTTTGCTAAATCACAAGTTTTCAGAAAAGAAATAAACACACACATACACATTGTAGTTTGTGAAACAAAAAATCACCATTAATGCGGCTTCATATTAGATCTTTAAATAATATGTCCGTCTCTTGTTTTTACATTGTAATTTATATATAAAAATATCTTATAAAAATATATATTATTATTATAAATATAAAGAGTACATAGGCTAAATTTAAGATAAATTGTTTCAAAAAATATTCAATTGACATTAATATTAATTTTAAGTTTTTTGTCAAATATTATTATTATTATTGTTATATAACTATTACAATAGTACATTATACCAAATGTATTATAGTACCTTTTTACTACGATTAATTTTACATTTTCTGAATATGTCAGAAGCATCTCTTTTAATCGAGTATTATATAATTTTGTTACCTTTAGAAACATTATATCCAATTCTTTTTTTTCTTTTTATTTCCTTCTGACTGTTTTTATGACTTTATAATTATTATATATATAGTAAATAAAAAATACTCATAAAATCTACTCTTACTGTAATATTTCTTAATTTTAAATTATATTATGTAAATTTTTAATAAGCCAAACAGGCTTCCAAATTTCCCATGATTTTCCACCTGGATTTTCTTCTAAAGTAATTTTTTGATCAATATTCAAATAAAATTTATGACTTTCAGAAATAGGTGTCCATTTAATATTTATTAAACCATCCATTACCGATGTTGGATCGCTAAATAAATGTTCAATTATAAAATTTTAATGAGAAATAAATTCGAAGTAAAAGAAATAGTATCTTACCCAGTTTTAGCAAAATTCGTCCATAGTTTTGTCATTATTTGCATCATTAAATAATCTTTTGTTCCTTTTTTAATTTGTCTTTCTTTACCTAATCGAGGACGATAAAATAGAAGAAAATTATCTTCAGCGTGACCAGCGCCTATGAAAGTTATAATTTATTTAAAGATTTATTTTGATTAGGCAAAATATTAAAAATTAAAATAATACATTGTTTAATTTAATTTTTTTTGTTTTTATTTTTTAACATTCTATTTTATTACCTTGATAATTTTTATAAATTGGATTTCTGCCCAAGATAACGTCAGCAATTTTATATGCAAATCTGTACATAAATGTAGGAGTTTTTTTATGTCTTTGCTTTTCAACGATATACTGAATACCATTAATGATACAAACATCTCCTCGATATTTCATTATGTTTTTCATCTCATTGATAGTGATCGGATTTTTGCCAAAATAAAATTTTTTCACATTCATAATAAATTTTGGTACATCAATCAAATTATTTAAATTTAAATGAGATTTGAGATTTTTCTCAAATTTCTCACTAAAAATCCTAATGTCATCTTCTGATCTGTCTATAAAAATATGAATTTTTAATATTTTATGAAATTATTGCTTTTTAATTTTATTATTATAACTTTCTTTTAATTCACTTAAACTGAAGGTAATTGAAGTGAAAATATAGTGTACCAATATTAACAGCAATGCCGTCTAAATTATTGTATCCTATCATTAATGGAACATTAATTCCATTTTCAACTAATATTTGAAGTGATTGTGGTAAAAATGGATTTTCGCAGGCAATATCCAGAGTTGGTAAAAATGGAGCATTCGTGAAAAATACACCAACATCCTATTAAAAGAACAAATTAAATAATTATACATAAAAGTTTTTTTATTTAATTTTTTTTACCTTCACTAATTTTAATTCTGCTTGAAGAATTTCTCGTGTTGAATAATTGCGAAATAATTGTACAGCTTCTTTGGGATTGTCAATTTTTGTTCCTAAGACTTCTAACATTTTGAAAGCGAACTCTTTATTAGAAGTTTGTAAATTATTAACATTAACTGCAACACCACTTTGACAAATGGCTTTATGGAAAAGTCCTAAAACAAAATATTAAAAAAAGACATAGAATATAAATTATAAATTAATTAATTAAAAAAAAATTTATCACCTTTAGCGAGTGGCGAAATACAAAGATAATGAACACACACACTCCCTGAACTCCCACCGAAAATTGTTACATTATCTGGATTACCTCCAAATTTTATTATATTTTCCTGAACCCATTTAAGAGCATAGACTTGATCTTTTAAACCTTGATTGCCACTACAGTCTTTTATATTTAAATTCAAGAAGCCTAAAATTTAACATAAACATTAATTTAAATTCGAAAAAGCTTTTATTCTGAAAAAAAATAATTTATAAATTAACATATTATTATATACTTTGTAAATTAATATATTAATAAAATAAAAGTTTCGATATTCACCAAAAACTCCAAGCCGAAAATTAAAGGAAACAAAAACAATATCATGTTTGAGAAGATAATCTGGACCGAAATAATTTAAATCAGACGACGAATAAGAAAATGCACCACCATGAATCCAAACCATTACGGCTTTTTTTCCAGCCAGAGAATTTGTTGCAACATTAATATATAAACAATCATCATCACCAAGTATTTCTCCAGTTCTCGCGTGAATTTGTGCAGCTTGTTTTTCTTTCTCCAAAGAATTTCGAATTCCATTCCAAAATAAAGCTGGTTGAGGATCCTGGAAAAAAATGAGATTAAATTAAATTAAAAAATATATAACAATAATTATTTTAACATTTAACATTATAATGAATAAAATTACTTGATTAGTAATTAACATATGTTTGCTTGGAAAATTCAAATACCTGAAATCTCAAATTTCCCACGGGGGGTGCAGCATAAGGAATTCCTTGAAAAACAATATATTTTCCACCTTCGACATTTTCCTTCTCGACACCTTTTACTATTCCTTGTTTTACTGCTACCAGAAAATCGTTCATTTCTTTTTTAAAAATCTGTTGACACTTTCTGATTGAAGTCAATTATACGAGTGACACATAATTTCTGATAAGAAATTGTGATAAATTGGTGGATCTTTTGCAAACAAAGAAGAAATAAAATTTCAACTAAAAACTTAAAATACAAATTATAAAAATATATAAACAAAACATTTTCAAATAATTTTTTTGTAATTTTATATCATAAGCAAGTGAAATATGAATACTTAATCCGTTTACTGGACGTATGTAATTATCTAACATTTTTTTTTATTGAAATTATAATTGTCATTTTTAATGAACCTTATTGAACATGTAATTAAATCTACATTGTTCAAATTCAAAATTGAAAAAAATACTTGTTTTCTAAATATGTATTACAATTTTATTCAACGTTGTCATAGTGAAATAATTTTATGTATTTAAAAAATGTACTTCTTTTAATATACACTTATTAATAATTGACTTATTCATCAGAACGAGTAAATAAAAAATTAATATAAAATAGTACCCAAGTTCTGATAAAACGGCTATAAAAATTAATTTGCTTTTTATAATAAGTAAACATCGTATGAAAATGATAAATTTACAATATTTAAAATTTAATAATTACGCAGTTTTGTTTTTCAAAATTTTGAAGACCGTTGACAACCTTTTATTAACATTAACATTTTTCGTCAATACTTTTAATTGTTATAATCAATTTAAAAAGATGTAAATTTTATTGAAAACTAGAAACCAATTTTTTTTATCAAAGTAAAAAGATATTTTTCCATAATACTTATGAAAAGCAAAAAGTATATTATTTTCTCTCTTAATGATAATTAGACTGAATAAAAAAATGAACCTAATGAATTTTAAATGATCTTTAAAAAAAAAAAAAACTTTTCCCCTGCTATACATCGTAATTGTTTACGTTAATTCAGCTTATTCAAAGAGATCAGATTTTTACAAATGAATATACTTTATTATGTATCAGTAAACAGAAGTGTCAAGTTGATTTGAGAAATTAATAAAAAAAATGTGAAATTTTTAAAATTAATTATGATACATGAAAAAATTAATTTAATAAGAAAAAAATTAATTTTTAAATCATATAGATATAAAAATAGATATTAATTTTTTTTAAAAACAAGTATATTTTTCATGTGAAATGATTTCGTGTACTTTTAGAATTTTTTGTATTTTGTTGCTGAATGTGCAAATTGTTCCCGCATTAAATGATGAAGTGGTAAACATTTTAGGAAATAATGAATATATGAATAATTTCATTGATAATGTGGAAAACAATGAAACAATTTCTCAGAAAATTGCAAATAATGAACAAAATAATGTGAAAAAAAATTCTTGGTTTTTAAACGTACCACTTTTGCCAATTGTTGTTGCTACCTCCAATTCAATTCCAGAAGGTTATTGCAAAAAACAATTGCATTTGTATCTTTCGCACTTGAACAATGGAACACTATGGGCAACTGAAAGTGAGTAAATTAGGTACTAAATTAAATGAATTTAAGAAAAATCTTTAAATAAATTTTTAAAGAATTATTTTTTTTTAATTTTCGTTCATGATTTTTCTAAATAAAAAAATTTGTGTTTTAGTGTTTGATTCATCAGCAAAATATCCTTATGGAATTTTGGAGGGATTAACACGACATTTAGGAATATTTGATCAATGTCATCGAATTCATACGACGATACCGAATAATGAAAATAATGAAGAAATTCGTGGTAGATATTGCCTCGTTGATATTGAATATCATGAAAAAAATGAATCCGCAAATGTATCAGAATATATGGATATTTGGTTTGATTCTCATGGTTCAGCGTGGGAGGCAATTCGAGTAATAAATCTTCAATTCTTAACTTTATCTGTAAAAAAATAATTTTTTTTTAAATAATAAATATAACAAAAAATAAAAATGTTTTTAGGAAAAAGATGATGTAAGACGTTACGAAAGATACCGGTTGCAAATGGCTCTATGTACTCCAGCAAGTTGTTATCCAGACGATATTGTCAATGCATTGACGGAACCCTTGGAAAAATTTGCAGAACAATATAATTTGAGAATAAAAATCTCGATAAATGAGAAATTTTGTCATGCAGCTCATGAAACTCCAAAATTATCTAATAATACTATTATATTTTGGTAATTTATTAATATTGAATATTATTTGAAATTATAAATTTTTATTAATAAATAATTATTAATAATAATAATTTGTTAAAAACTTTTTAGTTGCATCGTCCTTTTAATGATTATCCTAATTGTCATTAGTTCAATTTACGATTACATAAATGACAATAAAGAGGAAAATCAATCACTTCGCAAGGAAATATTATACTGTTTTTCAGCACAACGAAGTTTAAAAAGTATTTTTAGTATCAATTATCGACATCGTGGATTTGATGTTTTGCATATTTTCAGATTTGCTTTTTCAACTATCGCGGCTGTTGGACATCGACATATACAAGTTTTACATGTCTCAAATATAACCGCCAGATATTTTGAAATGGTAAAAAGAAAATAAATCTGAAAAAATAAATTAATTTTAATTAAAATAGAGAAGTAGAATTGAAAATAGTTTAAAAATTTAGAAATAATTATAAATTTTTCAGACAACGATGTCAAATATTTATACCATGATTTTTCACAATGGATCAATAATTGTAGATGCATTTTTTGGATATGGTGGACTTGTATTAAGTTATCAATTATTAGATTATTTGGAACATTCGTCAAAGAATTTTAATGTTTTTCTTTTAATTTTAAAACGATTTATTAGGTATGATTCATCTTAAAGTAAGATAAAATTTGATTTTAACTTTATTTTAAAAAATTAATAATTTATTTTTCAATTTTTACAGATTAGCTCCTCTTTATATGTTCGTGACATTTGCCTATGCAGTATTATTTTACCATTTGGGTTCAGGACCATTTTGGGAAGACAGATTTGGATTCGATAAAGATGCTTGCTCCACTTATTGGTGGACAAATCTTCTTTTCATCAGTAACTATTATAATAGCAGAAATACAGTAATTAAAATTCTTTTTTCTTATTAATTTTATTAATTTTATTTTATTATTAATAAAAAATCATTTATTTTTTATTTAGTGTATTTTTCAATCATGGTATGTGGCGGTAGATTTTCATTGTTTTGTAATTGGAATATTTTTGATATTGGCATTTCGAAAAATGTCTCGAAAAATTGGTTACATATTTCTAAGTATTATTTTAATGCTTTCCATTGCAATACCTTTTTATGAAACTTACAAATATGACATTAGTCCATTTATAGAGGGATTTGGCAAGTAAGTAATTTTTTATTTTTATACAAGAAAAAATAATTTAAAAAAAATAAATGAAATTATTGATTACCATCTATTAATTAAATTCTTTATTACAAAAAAATATTTATATATTCTAGAATCAGAAAAATGGAAGATTACAGATATTTTACAGATCATTATGTGAAAACTCATATGCGATTGCCAGCTTATTTTGTTGGTTTAATTATGGGAGCTGTTATTTATGATTATAAGTTCGCGACGTGGCGACTTTCTAAGGTAAAATTTAATGAGAAATATCAAAAAAAAAATTTCTTAAATGCATATTTTTTTAAATGAAAATTTTCCCGAAAAAGAAAGAAAATTAAAGAATTTTTATTGAAATATTTTTAGGGCTGGTCTCAATTTTTATTCATTCTACAAGTAGTAGTATTGAGTCTTCTTATTCAAAATTTAGGATATTACTTTGTTGATCCAAATGTGAAATTAAATTTATTTTTAAAAAGTCTTTACGCAAGTATTCATCGACCAATTTTCTCATTTAGTATGTGTTCTGTCGTTTTACTTTTGACAATTGGTGATGGACTAGGTATTAATTTGAAATATTTTCCATATATAAGAAGAAAATAGTCAACATTTTTTATGGATTGATACAATTTTTGTTACAGATTTTCAGTATAATTTCATGACACCTCGTTGGGTGCAACCAATATCCAAACTTTCTTATGCTTATTTTCTCATACACTTTTTTATTCTATCTTATGATGTCGGAACTGCGAGAACAGCCTTTACTTTTACCTTTTTTAATCTTGTAATTATTTATATTTTCAATTTACTTTCAACAATATTTTTATTTAATATAAAATTAATAATTTCAATTTTTATTTTATTTTTTAGATCAGATATAGTGTAATTGATTCTATTTATACGTTAATATTATCATTATTTCTCGTTGTTTTAATTGAGGAACCGTTCAAGAATCTTGGAAATTTATTATTTAGAGGAAAAATTGCCACCAAACCAATCAAGTAAAATTTTTTAATTTAAAAAATTTTTAAACATAAATTTTATTATAAAATTATAAAAGTATAAGTATTTATAATATTATAAATAATTTATTTATTATTATTCATTTCTTTTGAATATTGTCAATTTAATTTACAGTAATTTACAATAGTAAATAACAAATTTACTTTGTTAAAATGATATTTTATTTTTCAGAAAATCTGAGATAACGAAGAAAATGGAGTAACTAGAAAAAATTGTATAAAATATTTAAATAACAAACATATTCCTTTATTATTTAAGTATATTAACTTAAATTAAGAGAATATTTAAAATGTATACATATAGAATATACGCTGTCATTAGATTTTTTTATTAAAATAAATTATGATATAAAATGGAAAGATTTTCCGTCTAAGTTTGTATTTTTTTTTTGTTTTCTTTTTTTTCTATAAATTTCACGCATTGGTTTTGTTTTAACGCATGAGTATGTATAAATATATATTTATATACTGTACAACCAATTGTAACATAACATTATTTTTATTTTGTCAATGACTAAAGCTTTTCTAAAAAAAAAAATAATAATAAACGAAAAAAATCAGTCCTTTTTAGACACCACCAGTAATGAGTGGTGATTTATTGTGTTTATTTCTCTTTGCATTATGGTATAGATAAGAATGTACACGCAGACTATTGCTGTTTTTGTACTTGTTGCCACACAATTTACAAGTAAGACTTTCAAGAGGACCGTGAATATATCTTACGTGTAATTTTAAATTTTCTTTTCTTGTAAAATGTCGTAAACACCATGGACATGAATACATTCGAATTACTTTACCTCTTTCGACGCGAATCGTTGGACCAAGTTCTGATATTACCCGTAATGTTGTCTCTAACGATAAACTGCTCCCTGGAATTCCTTTTACTGTTCTCCTCCCTCGATTACTACAACTCGCAGAATCACTTTGAAATGATGCCTCTGTATTATCGTAATCTATAACATTTAATTAATTATTAACTAATATTGACATTTTTTTTGTTTTTAAATACGTACTTAGTGGAGGTTCTTGATAAGATGAATATTGTACGGGTTGAGGATCAGGCGGTAAATCTACACAAAGAAAATTAATTTTATCAAAAATACGTGATAATTAGTGATTAAAAAAATAACCTTGTGTCACTGTGTCCGTTTGATGCTCCATTTGTTTGTCAATCGATTCTGTTACTTGATTTCCCGTTGTTGATGTTGTTTCAATTCCCGGTTTATAATCACGCCAATCTCGTTCTGGTTGTGGCAATTTGATAAAATCAAGAGTACAATCCAATGGTTGATCTTCTTGACTATCAGATTCTTTCTCCAAATATTCTTCCATTGTTTGTTCAATATCTTCAGGCTCGGGATCTAATTCAATTTTTTGAATTAAATCTTCTCTCGTCTTGTCATTTGTTTGTTCGGAATTTTTATTGGAAGACGGACAGTGACAGGACTTTTCTGCAGGTTCAATTATTTCTTTAATAACATCGGAATCATTATCCATTGCAGTTGGGGTTGTGTCATTTTTTTCACTTATTATTGAATGCTCTGAAACTTCTGTATCCTTTTCACAGCATTCCTATAAAAAAATATTATTATTCATATAGTTAAAATAAATAATTTGACTTTTATTTTTTAGAAATCAATAAAATTATTTAAACATACCTCATCATTATTTTTTGTGAGTCCTTTGATTTGTAAAACTTCTGCGACTTTTAAAAAACTCGCTATATCTTCTTGTTTAATATTAACTTCTCCTTGATACATAAAATGCAACATTGCAGACAAATCACGATAGTTAACATCTTTTAATATTACTATTGGATGTTTACACGAATTACCCTGTAAACAATATTATTAATGCAAAAATAATAAAATATAACTAGTTAGAAAAATTCAAATTTCACTATCGGAGATGTTTACATGTGTTCAAAATTTAAATAACACTTTAAAGTACATTTACTAAAAATTTAAAAAAAATTAATTTGAAATTTAAATTGAAAATTACGAAATTTATATTTGAATACGACTGTTAATTATTAATGACGTCTAATAATATACTTTCGCAAAAGAAAAACAAATTAAAACATTATTTTATTTTTTTAATATAAAAAAACGTACAACGCAATTGATAAAACAATGTTAATGTGATTAGTTTCTTATTAACAAGAAGTAACGTAAATATACTCTGCAACAATAACAAACTCGTAGTAAACATACTGCGTACGACGTGGAAAACAAAAAACAAAACAAACCGAAAAACAGTTAATTGATATTTTAAACAAAACAAAAAACAATAGATTACGCTGATTAAAATGCACTGTCTTTAAATTGTAAATTATTATTAATTAAAGATTATAGTTATCAAAAAATATGACATTACCTTAAATAGTTCTCTAAAATATGTACTGCAAACGGATAAAATTAATTTGTGGGCTCGCAAAATTTGACCTTCAGCAGCGAGGGTAACGTCGACTAATTGTTCACCGGTTAATAAATTATAAAGACCAGAAGATAAATTTCTAGGAAATGTATTCCAAACCAAAGAGAATTGTTCACCAGCCATGTTTTCCTCGTAATTTTTTTAATGTAAAAATTCAATAAAAGCCAAACAATGAAAACAACACAGTATAGAAAAGTCTAGGTATCCAAGAGACATGTACGCAACTTAACCCCTCCCCGATTTATTTCCGATTCTTGTCCCACCTCTTCTGTCGCCCTGCACTTGGTGCACTTGTCCAGACTGTCTTTTTCTACTCATCCATCAGTAACGTATACATTTTCTTATGAACCCTTTTCTCCACATAACTTTTAATTATATCTATTGTTACACTTGAATTTAATACTATTGTTAACTTATTGTTTCATATAAACAAACACAAAATATAACCTCAAAACTTTGAAGATTAGTATATACCTATTTATAATAAAGTATGTTGTGTTAGATAGTTTCTCAAGTTAATAAATATATATTAATATGTAAATTGTGTTTGTATAAAAAAATTAACACAATATATTTTTAAATACACAGAAGAAAATATTAGAAAAGTGACAGTTGTTGACACTTGACAGCTGTATAAATCAAAATAATCAAATCGAGTCTGCGCATTACGATCAACCAATCAAATTAAGGCGCGAATTTTCACTTATTACGAAATTTATAAAAGTTAATTAAAGTAAAAAAATTGTAAAATTTAAAATAAATTATTAACTATTACTCATATTCACTTACTAATTATAAAAACAAATAATAATAATTTCAATTATAGAATATAATTTAATTTATATTTTATAATTAATTTATAATTGTAATTTATTAATATTTCTATTTTTTTTATATAATAGCAACCTAAATGTTTGAAATAAAATTCAAAACATTAATTTCTAATAATCCTGAGGCAAATCTCCCATAAAGTATAATAAAAATTAAAATTCATTCATAAGTTATTGTGTTTTTACAGAAATTTGTGGCACTCTAATAAATGCAATAAAAAAAATGCATTTATTTTGTAGATTTTTATATCACCAGTAAAAGATAAAAAGAAGTAATAAAAATAAAAAAAATTCATTTAATACCTGCCCGTGAGTTACTTTTATTTTAGTGTCTTCTTGCCATTTTCCTTTCAAGTTTTCTTTGTTTTTTCTCGTCCATTTCCGTTGGTGCTTGAGGTGCAGCAAAAATCCACGGGGATATGATATTTATCCAAAGCATCCACAATCCTCGAAGTGGTGCCTATAATTTAAGTTAATTATTTTCATAATTTTATTATATGATGACAAATCATTAAATTAAGTAAATATAATCAATTACCAATGTTAAAAGCAGCCAAAAGTAATTTGAAACAAGGGAGAGTACTTGTACAATTGAAGTAAGGATAATCATGTCTTTCACATGTCTGTAATATCAGAAAAAAATAATAAATATAACAAATTTTTATAATAAACTAAATAATACATGTAGTTTTTAAATAAATATGCAGAAATATCTTCTACATTAATGCTTTTTTTCAAATAAATTTTATAATTACTCTGCAATTCCTCCCTCCATGTTTAAATCAACTCCAGAGTCAATTAATTGTCCTGTTTCCGAATATTTGGCTTGAGCCATATAAGACATAAAATGATAACATCCTATATATACAATTCCAGATAATAGACTAAGTGTCTAGAAAATGAAAATAAAATTGTAATTAATAATTAATTCTATTGATTTTTTTTAAAATTTATACAATATTTATAATACTTACTATTGCTAATGTTGTAAATTCAAAAAATAGCATCATAATTGTTAAATAAGTTCCTACTGCTATACCAATCATACACATGTAAAATTTTAACGTCGAAACATTTTCTTCGACTATTTGTTTTGCTCCCTTTGTTGCTGTTTTAGTACTTTTTGTTGGTGGCTGAAAAACAATAAATTATTACATTATTAAAATTGAAAGGATTTATCAACAATTACTATTAATTAAATTAAATATCTTAATTTTACTACGTAGAGATTGAGGTTATGTTTAGTGGAATACTTCTCTTTCATTTAAATTAACCTCAAAATACAACATTATCATACAAAAATGTAATTTCAAAATATAATTTACAAATATTAGTGATATATTTCAATTTATTTAATAATTTTATCTGTCATATTTTTATCATTTGAAATAGATTTCATTTTATGTGTCAGCAAATTTTATTGTAAATATATAATAAATGGAACTTACCGCCATTATTCTAACACTTTTCAGTCTTTAAGTAATAAATTAACAAGAATAAAATGTAGTTTTAAAATACAGGAGTTTATTTAAACAAGTATCATAATATTTAAAAAATAAAAAGATTCAAACCACATGTCAGAGATGAACATATGGGTTATTTGACACACATTCAAAGAGGTACACGTACACACTAATACTAATGCGTCAACAATGACAGCTGAAAAATAAGTTCAGACACATTCCAAGCAGTTCAAAAAATTATGCAGTAAAAATAAAGAATTTTAAATGAAATCTTTTATAAAAATGGAAAAAAATGCTTTCTTAGGTAATTAGTTATTTATATTATTTTATTTACATATTGTCATTTTTACATAAAATAGTTTTCATTCATCAAAAAATATTAAATGAATATTTATTTGTTGACGTTCCTGTTATAATTATTCGAATGTATTGCTCGACAATAAATTATTTCTCCATCTAAAAATAAGTTATTTTTTATTTAAAAAAAATTAAAAACTTAATAGGTAGGTACTTAAAAATAAAAATTTTTAATAAACAATCATTCTCGTTGTTTTCGCCAAAACAAAATTTAATTTTAAATATAAGAATTAAAAATAATCATCTCTGCGTTGAAATTTGCGAATTATACGCTACATTTTTTTTTAATGACGTATTTACAATGAGATAATGTATAAAATGGTATAAAATGATTTCAACGATGAAATTTATTTACAATCTGCTAATTGAATTTTCATCTAGAGTTTCTTGATAAGATCTCCAGATATTTGCTGGTAATATGTCCCCTTTGTGTTGTGCGTATTTTACTGCGTCATTAACAGTTGGAAACAATGTAAAATAACATTCTTTTTTCTCCACTAGATCACATTTTCTTATTATATCAAAAACTGGACCTGAAAGAAATCAAATAAAAATTTATTTAAAATTAATTAAATTATTGAACTTGAAACAAAGAAATAATTAAAAATAAAGAAAAAAATTTAATTAGATTAATAAATAATAATAAATAAATAAAATTATGAAAATTTTAATTTTTTTGATTGAAAAAAATTATTTCCATCGATAAAAGTAAAAATAAACATTATTAATGAAAAAAAACATTACATTAAATTGAGATTTCAGGAATATGACGGTAGCAAAAAAATTTAATACATTATCAAAATGGACTTGAAGAATGGAAGAGTAATGAGGGGGAAATTTTGACAACTCACCTGAACAACCGGAAATGTATAGAGAAACTTCGATTTTTTTATATTCTTCAACCAAAGACCGAAGCATTGCCACACCCGCTGGATCAATATGGACCAAGGCCGAAAAGTCTAGGATCAAGACTTTTAACTATAAAAAAATAAAAAATTATAAATTAAAAAACGTTTCTTTTTTACAAATTCGTCACTTAAACTGTTTTTTAAATTTCACAATTTAATGTTGAAATTTTCATATATATATATATTTAAAAATGAAAAAAAATTTGAACTATTTTCAATATCAAAATATCAAAAAAAAATTAATTTTAAACAAATAATAAACATAATAACAAAAAGAAAAAGTTAAAAAATTTCTGTAATTAAAAATTAAAAGTTCATTATTTCATATATATATATATTTTTTTTTGTCCCGGTATTAATATTTTACAGAAATTAAGGAAATTTATATAAAATTCTGAAAATGACTTTCAGAGAAAAAAAAACCATTTAAACTTACAAACATGGACTCGAAAAAATAGAGTTTTCTGTGAATTTTTTTTTTGAAAATCTAAAAAAAGCACACATTAAAGTTTCATTAAAATTTACAAGAGAAATTTTTTTAATATATTTAAGTCATCTTGTAAATTTTAAGAATAAAATATACCTGAAAGATTTTTGGAAAAAATGAGATGATCAACATTTATAGAGACCAAAAAGAAAAACTAAAAAGCGATAAACAATAAAATGGGTAAACAGAAAAGAGAATCTTCTGTTTTAAATGTTGTTTTTTTAAGTAATATTTTACTTTATTGGTGTACGGCATTCCAGAAACAGAAGAAGCTTCTTGAGAGGTGCACGTGTCCCCTTCAAAACCAACATTCGAATATCCGTCCTGAAATTAGAGCGGCAAACCTTCACTTACAATTATTCTTACAACCGCGGATAATAAATTATTATTTTATACACAGGGTCGCACCTAATAATAATTAAGAATATTAATCAATTTTTTCTACAGCTTTGTTTATACCAGATATTGCAAAATTGAAATTATTTTCTAAAAAAAAGTTCTTTGAATAATAACTGAAAGTTTTAATAAATTTTAGATTAATTTTATCGTTTTTAGATGATTTTTCTTGATCTAATCTGAGGGAACATTTAAAACAGAAATTGAATTTTTTTATATTTGATATGAAAAAGCTTCTACGTACAAAGCATAGTTTGTGATAGAATGATTGAAAGCTGAGATGACGACTTTTTAAGCTTCTAAATTCAATTAAAAATTTTTTTACACTTATTGTTAAATTAAAATCGCAAAGGAAAACATTTTGTTTATGTTGACATTTTTAAAAATTTACAAACATTAAATATTTAATAAAGTAAAAGATGAAATAAATAAATTAAAAGATAAAAAGAAAGACAGTAAAAAAAAACTTTGAAGAAAATGTTTTCCTTTATTATTATTTTTATTGCATATGTAAAACACCACTCAACGTCGCGTTTCTATTCTACTATTTATGTAATTGACAATGCACAACATTAATTATTTTTAAAACAATAATTCTTAATATATAAAAATAATTACCATTGAACAGGCTCTAGATTGTTTATTTCTATATATCAAGAGGGCATCAAATTATTTTTTTCTCATTCTGGAAAAATATATCCCATACAAAATTATTACATACCTTATTTGTTGATTCTGTACAACTTCTCTCTGACATTTTCAACCTTAATGTCAATTCTTTTTGTGGAACAATTCCAGCTATTTTGTAGACAGTTTTGCGGAAATGTTGTCTCGAAGCAAAATTTAAACCTCCACAATAGTGTAAAATTTTCACTCCCGGTACCTCCACCGTCTGAAATTGAATTATTTATTTTTTAGTTTTAAGTTACAAAAATTTTTATTATTTAAAAATGATATAGCTGAAATGAAATATTTAGTTTAAAAATTTTCAACATTCAAGTCTAAAAAATTGAATTTTTAGCATTAATTTTGAATTACTGTTTGATCATACTCCTTTGAATCTTTTCACGTCCAAGTAGAATTCGGTACCAGGTATAAGGGCTAATTTACAAGTGTATGGCATCATTGATAATGTCAATAAATTTCCTATACATAAAATTGCACCAGTTAACAATCCATATGCAACGTCTAATATCACAACACTGAGAAATGTCAGCATCCAAATGCCAGCATCCACTTTTGACATTCTCCAAAATTTCACAAATTCTTTTAATTGCATCAACATTCCTTTCAATGCCACTATTATAATTCCAGCAAGAATACACTGTAATTAAATTAAATTAAATAAATTATATATTTTATAAAAATTCTACGAAATGGCATTATAATTTGTTTAATAATTTGAAAAATAAAATTAATTTGCATACTTACTCTTGGCAAAAGTTCAAAGAATGGTCCAATCCAAAGTAAAACACTTAATAAAATGCTACAAGAAATAAAACTTGCCAACTGAGTCCTTCCTCCCACGGTCTGTTGAATTAATGATCTCGACAAAGAGGCACAAGAAGGCATACACGAAAAAAATGATCCTACAAGATTTCCAAGCCCCTGAAATAAATTTTATTTATATATTATATTCAAGAATGTAATTTATAACATTAGTTTTTTTTATAATTTTTTCTTTTGTCGATTAAATTCCCATATTTAGATCTTAAAGATAAGTTAAGGGATAGACTCTTTAAAATGAATATAAAAAAAAGTAGGATCATTTGTAAATATAAACGTTTTTTTCTACCTGAGCTAATAATTCCTGATTTGCATCTACATCGTAATTGAGTTTTTGAGCAAATATTAATGCCATTGACATTGAAATGGTATATGTTACCATTGTTATCACAAAACTATCTAAGGCGACTGCTTCTAATAAACTAAATGTTGGCAATTTCGGTTCTGGTAAACTGAAAATTTTTAAAAAATTTAATTAATAATAAATATAATAATATATAATAATAATATCGATTATTATAATTACCCGACTGGTATAGAGCCAACGGTTATAATTCCATAATTCTCTGGTAATTTCATATAGACTGATAATATTGTTCCTAGAATAACGACAATCATTTCTATTGGAACTGGAATTGGACATCGTCTCGCGATTTTTGGCTGTAAATATTTTTTTATTTTATTAGAAAATTGAATTAAAATATAATCTAATGTAAATTACCTTTATAAATTCATTATTTATCACAATTGCAATTATTGTAATTGCAGAAAGAATTGTAGCCGCTGAATTAATATTTCCTATGTGATTAAAAATATCCACGTATGTCTGAAATATAAATCATCAAAATTAAATAATTTACAATTAATTATAATTTATAAATATTTCTTGTAATTTTTTATTTTTTGCTCTTCAAAGAAAAAGGAAAATTCCTTTTTAAAAAAAAAAAATAATAATAAGAAAACTGAAAAAAAACCGCGGAGAAAATTGAGTTCGAAGAATAAAAAAAAAGTTCACTTATCTGTTATAAGAACAGTTCACTAAAAAGTTAAATTTTATCTCCCTAAGGCATAAAGTTCTGATTATATGCACAAGAAAGATATAGACAAAGTTTAGAGAGACCCGAAGAGCGTACGTTAGAATATTCTCTCATTCTTAGAAAATTTATGTTACCTTTTCTATAGTTTTACTACTTTTCTCGTCATTAAAGTGATCTTTTTTTTACCCCATCTTCATTCAAATATAGTTAATAGAATTTTTATATAATATATATTATTATAAAACTGTCAAGAAAAATCTCCTAAAAATTGAATATTATATAATAAATACTTATTTATTTACTTAATTGTGATTTAACTGTAGGAAAACAAAAACAAACGCCATCTCTTAAGTGACGTAGCAACTAATTTCGATCGCGTTATCGCATCGATATATCGCATAGCTTGGTGCCAACTTCACGTTGATACATAACCTCAAAAGTCTCAAGCTGACGCGCCATTTAATATCAGTCGGTCTGCAGTGCGTGAGTGATTGCAAATGTGTATAAAAGTGTAGGAAAATTCTCGATTTTAGTTAAAAAATATCAATTGCTGTAAAAGAACTAAATAATAATAATATAAATTCATAATAACTAAGTTAAAACAATAAATAATTAAAATATAAATTTTTACATGCAGTTAAAATTTTCCAAAGTGTTCGCGTAATTTAAAAATGGTTAGCATATAGTTTGTTAGTTTGAAAAGTGATTTCGGGAGTGTACGACAATTATTTTTACAACCGCAATCGCTAATAACAGTGTAAATTGGTGTAAATAAAATGTGCAAAAATTGATTATATTTCGGGAGTGTTGAAAAATTTTCATTTCCGTTCCCGCGCTTTTTGTGATAGTGGTAGAAGAAGTAGTTCCAGTCCAGGATAGAAATTAGAATGTAGACCAGTGTAAGTTTTCGATTATTTATCATAAAATTTAGATGAAATTTTTTAAAATATTTTGTTAATTAAAAAATATATAAACTATTTTTAAAAAACTATGTTTTTTTGACACTAAAAATTAGATCTTTTAATTACTGACCGTTGCCAAAAATATTGAACAAGTGTTTCATAAATTACAGTGGCGCTGCGATACGTGTTGTTACGATTTGACATTAGCTCGTCACATAACCTCAAAAGTGATCAAATATTGTTTATTTTTCTTATAATGATAACTCTACAAAAAATTGTGTTCCAATTTTTGTTTAAAAATAATTCAATTTTATTTTTTTTTTAATGTTTCAGATCAAAGGATTCGGTCTTTTCCAATCAACAATCGGTGAGTTTTTCTTAACATTTGTTGAATCAAAAATAAACGGAAGTGATCTTCGAATCTGTTGCTTCTACATACATTTATTGGATATCATACAATATCAAATATACCCAAAAATATATGAAAAATATAACAAATGCGTAAAAAATTTAAAATTGAAATTTTGAAAACTCGATAAGGCAAATAGAAAAATCTATGAATAAAAAGGGGTTTTTGTTTACTCACAAGAATAACTTTGAAGAGTCCTTTCCGTTTCTGTAGTTGGAGACCAAAAAGGTCCTTTATTTGGGATGTGAGTACATGAACGGCGGCTGCAGTTGTAAAACCACTGACCAAAGTTTCGGACAATAGAGAGGAAATGACACCCAGTCGTAGAATATACATTGCCAACTGAAATATATATACATATATACAATATATAGTTTATATTCATAAATATTTTTTGAGAATATAAAGTGTGATCTAGACTTTCATTTTACGAGTCATAAAATAAAATGTACCTGCATAAGAGCCACCATGAATGTAACTGCTGTAGCAACTTCCGTTGCAGTATATTGTATATTCCCCGGATCAAGATTTGAAGTATTGTTAGGTATTGTACTATTACTATCTGAAGGAAATGTGGCATGATTTAATACTACTTTCCCAGTCATCATGCATATCACTGCAAATGTTCCTAAATTCCAAAAAAACGCCATTTTTTTCATTAGTTTTCTTTTTGATATTGATTTATTTTAGAATTAGATAAACAATTGAAGCAAAAGGTAGTCCAATTTTTTAAATCAAAAATTACTTTTATTTCGACTGTCCATCCAATTCTTCCTTAAATATTATCAGGTGAAGGCAAAAAATCGTAAACAAAAATCATTTTGATAATTTGTTTCTTTTTTGTATAAAATTTATTTTTTTTAATATTATAAATATTTCACCCATTGAATTATGCCTAGAAGTTCCAAAAATAGAGTAAACTAATACTGGAAAGAATGCCATGTAAATACCAACTATTGGAGGTACATTTCCCAAAATTGCGTACGCCATTCCTAAAAAAAATTAAAAAACAAAAATGATAATTACAAATTAATTAAAAATAATTGAACTAATTAGTAATTAATTAATCAAAAGAATAAGATTAATTTTTTAATTGAAAAAATATATATTTATAAAACATACCCTGTGGAATGTGCATAACAGCCACTGTGACTCCAGCAATTGTATCGCCTAGTATATTTTGTTTCCATTCGTAATTGTAAAGCCAATCTACAATGGGAACTGTTTTTTTTATACATGCTTTTATTTCACAGTCTTTACACTGATTTGCTAATTTCTCTGAAACTAAGAAAACATAATAATAATAATTTAAAAAATTGCTTTCAAATAAATTTAAAAAAATAATAGTAAATAACAAAAATAATAAAACTAAATGTTTATTTCTATTTGAATTTTAAATTTATACTTAATATGAATTCTAATTAATTTCTCTGAATCTTATAAATAATAATTTAAAAAATTAAATATTTTATTTTTTTAAATTAAAAAATTATAAATTATTAATACTTTATAAATTTGCTTTCAAAGAAATTTAAAATAGATGTCGTTTTTTTATTTTAATTACAAACGTAATTTATACGAATAGAATATTAGTTTATTAGGAAATAAATAACATGGAATACATCATAGACACATTTAGTATACATTATTCGAAAGATAATTTTGATACGCATTTAATTTACTTTATCATAAATTGTGATAGAATTTTCGTTGAATGAATTGGCACGTTATGAACGAATAACGATAAGATTATGTATTAAGAGCAGAAAAATTTGTTATATTTTTTCCTCTAAAATTTAGAACAATACAAAGTCCTCCAATTTTCTTTTTGGAAAAATGAGAAATATTTTGAAATTTAAACCATTTCACATTAATAGTGAACTTTTATAATTGTTTATTGTTCTCTAAAACTGAATTAGTTGAAAATAATTAAAAAATTAGTAGAAATATTATTGTTTTTACTCAAAAAGTTTTTTTCGAAATTTAGAAAAATTTCTTCTATAAATATTTGTTTTGCAAATATTTTTTTCCTCTTATTTTGAGGGTGATTTTTCTGTTAGCATTTCAATTCTCTTTCTTCCTTTTGTTTTGTTGGAGAGGAAATTTCATATATATATATTTTTTTTTGGCACAAAACGCGAGTTACGGCACTGTTTTGTGATTCGTAATACTCACGTGGTGTTTGAGACTGTGAGTACTGTCCAATTCGATGCAATTCATCTTGCTGGTAAACTGGTCGTCGTACCACCAGTTCCGGTAAAATCGCTGTCATTTCGTCACACAAAACGTCTGCAAGTAGTAGTAATAAAAAAAAAAGAAAAAAAAATTTCCCATTATTATTGACAATAAAAGTCAAATATTATGTCATTTTTCATTTAATTAACGTTGATGAAACGCTTCATTGCGTTTACGGCTCGTGCCTCAATTTAATATTATTGCAAACGAAAAGCGTCATCCGGTTCAGATAGTGAATGCAATTGCATCTCTTTGTGTAAACCTGTGTTTGTGTGAGTGTATATAAGTTTGTATACATGTAAGTCAGCCAAAAGGTGAAACAAACAAAACCGCGCGAACTATAACAATAAAATTTCATAATCGAGACTCTTTTGGTTTTTATATGTATATATATTGTAGATTATTCATAGAACAGAACGAGATAGATTTTTACACGTGGCATGAAATAATTGACATTTCTTCTAATCACAATATGTTTCCTCACTTTTCTTTTTTTTCATAATCGTTATATTTTTTTATCTTAAAAAAAATTTGTTGACTAGTTGATGAAATAGTAAATTTTTTTATTTTTGTAATTATTAATATTATAAATATTATAAATATTCTTATTATTAGTATTATAAATATTAAAATAATTAATTTTAACAATATTCATATTATTAATATTAGTATTATAATTTAGGTGTCATTTGTAAATTGTTTGTGAAGAAAACATGTTAAATGAGAAATTGTACGTTAAAATTATAAAAAAAAGAACATTTTTATAAAATTTACAAACAAAAAATCGGTAAAATTTTTAGTAAATAAAATAAAACGCAGAGTAGAATTTAGTCTAATTTTTTTATCGGTAATTATATAATGAATAAATGTTTGAAGTTTATATCTATATTAAATTTATGTCACGTTTTTTTTATGTGAATAACTGATTAAGAAAAAAAAGTGAGAGAGAAATGTATTTTAATGATGTTAATTAGAAATAATTACCTGACATCATGATTGTGGTTTTTTTGTTGAATTTATTATTTTTTTTTTTTTGTGAAAAAAAAAGAAAACAAATTGTACACGATTAACTTAAATGTCAGAAATATGAACTGTCGTGAGAGCCAGCTCAGGCAACTCTGTTTCCGACGATACTGATAAAGTGATTGTGCATAAGCTGTGCTCAGGTTTTGTTCGTGTCGTTTATTGTTTAAAAAAAGAAAATAATTTTTTTCACTTCAATATCTCAAGCTCTCATTATAAAACAAGAGTATTTACACTTTATGGGTATTATGTACATTGTGTCAAGTGTTTTTGTTAAATGCATTTTCGCGCGTTTCTAAATTGTACTTAAAATTCATTGGAAATGATATTTTACAACTTCCGGGTTATAAAACTAATATTAGGGAAAATTTACTTAGATTGCAATGAAAATACAAAAAAAATTATCTTTAACATTTAAAAAGTAAAAATAAAAAAAAACAAGCGAGGAAAAATTGGAACAAGTTTACAACAAAATGTTAATTTGACATACATTTTAAACTCTATTTTAAAAACAATGTAAAATAATATGTTTAAACTTTTAAAGAATTTAAAGTTATAAACAAAATTTTTGAAAATTTTTTTATATTTATATTATGTAATTTAATTAAGTTAATTAAATAATTAATATATGATATTACTATATTATTATTATAAATTTTTACATTTACATGAAAAATTAAAACCAAACCTCGAAAGAGAGTTATAAAAATTGGTAAAACAAATTTTGGTCCAGTTTTTATAGTTTCGATTTGCTAAAATTTAATGACATAGGTAAACACACACATATTAGGATAATTTTTACAAAAAATAATTTATCAATTCCTGAAGTCAAAAAACATGGAAATAAATAAAAAAATAACCTTAGAAAAATTTCAATACTATAAAGAAAAAAAACAAACATAAAAAAATGTTAATATTTAGAAAATTTTACTAATTTTTGTTTTTAACTGTCCATCCGATTCTCCCTTTAAAATAAAAATTGTTAACAGCATTGTTATAACGAATGCAATTTATTTTTTGTCATTTTTCATTTATAAATTTATAATATGATTCTATAATATGAGAGTGTGAAAGATGAAAAAAAAACGGTGAAAGAGGGAAAAGTATATATTATGATAAAGTGTAATCATAAAATGTTTAATAGACGTGAGGTCGTCATGTGATCAATTTTATGTAAATCATAAGACCGGTTTTTGTGTCATATGACTGGAATAAGCGAAAAGAATAAGATAACAGTTCATGAAAGTATTGCAAATGAGTTTGACGCAAAATAACGTTTTCAATGTTATCGACATTTTCATATGCACAAGACATGATTTTATCCCTGACAATTTATCGCGAGAATTGATTGGAAAATCTTTGTGTATAATTATAAATGCATAATATTTAAATTCATTATTAAAAAATCATCGAAACTAATAATTTACATTTTTGTAAATTACTATTTCTTTTTTGTATAGAATTGTCAAGTGAATTTTTGATATTACTGGTTTTTCAAATAAAAAGTATTGTGTGATTTGATATTAATCATTTTTAAAGTGTTTTGATAAATTAAATTATCATTTATTATTATTAATTACTATTTCATATATTGATTTTATTGATTTGATATGCAGGTATGTAAATTTACATTTTACATGTAAATTTGTTTGCATTTTCTATAAATTCTTTATCATGTCTTTTGTGTCTTGAAACAAAAACTTCTTTTCAAAATTTTTCAAAAAACATTTTTTTTATAATTGAGGAACTTACAAGAAATATTTTTACTTTTACACTTGTTTGATTATGTCCAATTATTTTTTAATCACTTCATGGAATAGAAAAATGCATAATTCGATTCTTGATCACCTGCAAAAAATTAAACATTTTTGTATTATATATTTCAATAATAATTCTGGATATTAAATTACGTCAATTGAAAAATGGGGAAATTTTTTCTTTTTTATTATTGACTTATAATGATTTTTAGATTCACATTTGTAGATATAAAATTATCTTAACAATTTAAGTTTCATGGAAAAAAGAAAATTTTTCACACTAATTTTATTCAATTGAAATTTCAAAATTAATGTTTATTCAATGTGCCTCTTTGTCACCGGTTTTTTTTATCATTTCACAGCTGTTATAACCAATTTTGGTGATTCGTCATTACGATCTTGACATAATTAAAGATGAGTTCTTATATTTTTAAATAAAATTTAGTGCGTAGTAAAGAAAAAAGAAAATTTTAATCTTTTTGAGTTAAAAATATTTAAAAAATAAAATAATAAATTTTAGTCTTCTTCATAACATTTAATAATTGTTAACAATTTTTACAGGGACGTATCAATTATTGTTTTAAAGACAGGATAATAAAATTCCTCATATATAGTAAAAAGGATATTAGCCAGAAAAATATAAATTATTATTAGCAGAAAATTGTGAGATATATTCTGTTTTAAAAAAATTGAAAAAGAGATTTCTAATTTTATTAAATTTTCTACCTCATCATAAGGTACATAATTTATTATTAATAGTATTTTACTATACGTAATTTATTATTCCAAGTATTATTATAAATTAACATATAAATATAATATAAATAATAATCTAAATAATTATTAATAAAATTAAAAAAATTGTATTTACCTTCACTAGGTAATGATAATTAATTATAAATATAATAATTTATAGATGATAAATTATTGGTATTATAATACGATTGTTAATATAGAATGGAAAAAAGTGAACTATTTTTACGCGACAAATCAACAACTAAAATCCTAGAATACTAAAGTTAATCTGAACAACAAAAACTTTGCATCTCAAGATAAGACACTTAAAAAGAAAAAAAACAATTTAAAAATTTTTCATTGCAAAAAATTATTTGAAGGTAAAAATTTTGAAACAACAAAAGTTAAGAATAATGCGTATTTGGCAGATAAGATATATATTCTTTTAGAAACATTATGCAAATATAAAGTACTTGAAAATTCTACCATTTTTTAATGAACAAAAAAATGTTAAAAAGAAAAATAAAACATAAAATATAACTGCAATGAAAAAAAGAATTATTTTATTTTATTATTTTTTTATGATTTTTAATTTTTCTGCTCTGTTTTTTTTAAATTATTCTAAATTTTTTTTTTATTTTTATTTTGAGTCGGGAAAAAATTAAAGAATTTTTTATCATTTTTTATACTTATTAATTAAAATAATAATAACCAATAATAATAATAATATAAAAATAAGAAAAAACTAACTTGTATAAATTAATTGAAATTGTTGCAATATATAAAATACGAGAAGAAAATTAAAATTGACCAAGAATCAGGAAATGAAATAAACGAATCGACAGAAAGAAGTAAATTGTTCTAAATTTTACAGTAAAATGGAATGGCTGACCTTTCTTTAATCCTTATAAAGTGAAAAATGTCAAAGAACTCATCTCAGGAAATGACGAAATCACGCAGAATTCTTGAAGAGCATCATAAATAGAGAAGAACGAAAATAAATAAATAAAAAAAAAAATACTTTGGCACTTGACTACATTGCACTTACATTTGTAAAGCCACAGTGAAAGAGAAAGAGAGAGAGAGAGGGAGGACGGAAAAAAATCCCAAATGATAGAAACAAAGAAAAAAAGAAAAAGAGATACAGAATAAAAAGAAGCAGTCACAGGGAGATGCAATTGCAATTATTTTATCCTCCCTAAGTAATCTCTTCTTTTGGTCCGTGTGTGGGATGCTGAGGAATGAAAACTTTTTTTTTATGTAAAAGTATATCACACCCAGTGTGTTACCACTGAGAAGTGCAAGCTAATACTAAATGCATTCATAGAGCTTTGTAAATAAAGGAATATAACGATCATGATTTCTCTGATCTTGACAGAAATCACGAGGTTCTTGCGAAATGCATTCCGGTTCCCAATGTATATATATTTAGTTGAGATTTTGATCTTGACTTCTAAGTGAAAATCATTTTTTTCTTAATTGCCAATAAAATATAAAAACGAGATATTCAATTTGAAACATCTTTTTCATTCAAGTGAATGTCAACACATAATAATAATAATATTAATAATAATAATAAAACAATAATAAACAATAATAATTATTATAATAATATTAATAGTAATAAAAAGTAAAAAAAATAATAATAAATTTATTAATTTTTGTTACAATTTGTAACAATTAGTCTGTAAGAGAGTACTTTTGCACGAAAGGGTTTGTCCCTTATATAAAATAAATAAATAAAAATAATAATTAATAACATATACACGGGTCGACAAAGCAGGCACCTACCCATTGTATCTATAAATTTACTTTGCACGGTCAAGCACGTGGTCCAGGTGACCCTTGTTTAAAACCGGCCCATGGTCAAACATTGACCATGAATTTTAACCGGGCACAACTTTAATTCGGTGAACTTTCTTTTAGTCAATTTTTTGTATTTTCTTTCTTTTTATCTATTTTTGAGTTTTAGTTTACAATCTATAGGGGACAAAAAAGACTCTTTATATCAGAAAGGATATATCAGTTAGTAGTTTGATGAAATAAATTTTTGAATAAAAACAATTGTTTATTCAAAATGTACAATAAACAAAAAAAAGTTCACGTTTAAATGAAATGGTTTAAAGTTAAAAATATTTCTCATTTTTCATACTTTTCTGTTCAAAAAGAAAATTCTTAATAAAATAAAATTTTTTCCAATTTTTATTTAGAAAAAAATAATTTTTTATAACCAAATTAATTATTTGGTTTCGAAGCGTTCTTTTTTTTGTCTTTATTGTACATGAATAATGCTGTAATTGCACATTTACTTTTGATGAATATAATAAAAATAATATTGCTAAATGGCTCATGGACATACAATATAAAAGTTATAGAACCAGTTGTTTAAGTAAATTATTTTTACTGGTTATTAATTTTTACTGGTATAAGATTGAAATCTATTTTTGAAAAGGAAGCTCTTTAAATAATATATACGTTATAATGACTAAAATGATTTATCACTAAAAATAAAATAACTAAATAAATAACTGTAAAAAAAATTTTGTTTCATTCAAAGATTTTTATTTTTGCAAAAAGAAAAAAAATTATTCTCCGAGTGTAAAATGTTTATAAAAAAAAATTACTCCGAATTATTGTAGACATAGAAGAAAAATAACCAACCTTTGTTTTTTCAAAAATGTGCAATTTCCTCAAGAAATTTTTTAATCCTCATATAAACGCACATAAAAAATCACACATGACATATTATAAAAATAATTTGAAAAAATCACAATTACTCAAAAATTAATACAATAAAATCCACAATCACAGTGAGGGGTTTTTTTTATTTTGGGGTCCTCCTCGGGTTATTCGAGGCAAACGAACTCGATGGCAGCCTGAAGAAAATTGGAAGAAAAAGTCCCAGCAACATTCAAGGTACACACGAAGACTAATTAGTCATCTCGCACTGATTCATATATATATATATTTTTTATGTGTCGAGTTGCTTTATAAAAGATTTTATATCTTTTATTATGACTAAATAGGTCTTCTATGTGTTGAAATAGTTTACTGGGAAATTTTTTTCCAAAAATTGCTTTTGTGTCCCTTATAATGTATATTTAATATTGATAAGGAGCACCCTGTATAGAAATTTGCACAGAAAAGGTGAAGGCAGAGAGTCTCGACAGTGCTGATATTTTTATCGACGAGGGAAACAAGTTTCAGCCTACGTAAAATAGCCTAACAGCAACCAATTGACTTGCTCATAATATATATATATATATATATATATAAAGAGAACTCGAAATTATAATATTTATAAATAAAAATATATATCTTTACCTCAGTCTCGATATAAAAGGAATTGTATCACCCTTCACGAATAAACGACAGTGGTTGAATGACATTTAAAAGTTTTCCCAAAAGATTTTTTTTTAACAACTTAATTTGTCCCGGAAAAAAATAGATAAAAACCAGTAGTCTGCCATGAAGAAAAATCTCAGAAATCTGCAAAAAAGGTTACAAAAATAAAAAATAAAAATATTGAATAATAATTATTCAATAAAAATAATTAAATAATAATTAAATAATTAATTAAATAACTACTTGAATAATTAATTTAATAAATAAATAACTAATAAATAATTACTTAAATAATTAATTAAACGATTAATTGAACAATAAATTAAAGAATTACTTAGATAATTGATAATATGATTTATTTAAATGATTAATTTCAATTTTCAAACATTAAAATTGGGAAATTTGAATTATTAATTCAGATGAATGATATAAAAACCATTTTAATAAATAGTAATTACATTACTTAAAATTCAATTTCATTTACTTGACAGTGTTTAGTCTGATGACAAAAAAAGTGTAAACTAATTTGTTTCTTTCCTAATATAAGCAAAATTGATAATTAAAAAAAAATACAAGGAAATAACAACAATTCTAGTAAACGAAATTTTCCAATAGTTATGTTTTTTTTTATTGAGCAACTTTTGGATATAGTTCCGAATAGCACATACCTCCGATTTCAATAAAACTTAGTATCCCTACGTAATTTGGTGCGCTGATTACGAAAATCATAGTGAAAATTGGCGGAAATTTAATTATCATGGTAAAAACCATAAAAAACACCATAAAATCATGGTTTTTTTCGATTATCTCGTAAAAAACAAAAAACTTCGAAAAAAGTTTTAGACGAAAGTTGTAGATCTCTAAAAAACACACATTTCATGTTTTATGCATTTTTTACCAAAAGTCATTATTTTTCGAGAAAAACGCAAAATAGTAAACACGGCCTTCGGCCGCGTAAGGTACTGCTCGCTTCTCTTTTTAAGAAATCTTGGCGAGAGGGGGTGGATGTGTCCGAAAGTAATTTGCAGAAATTGTGGGGTGGAGTCTACAGCAGCGGTAAACGCAAAATAGTAAACACGGCCTTCGGCCGCGTAAGGTACTGCTCGCTTTTCTTTTTAAAAAAACCTTGGCGAGAGGGGGTGGATATGGCCGAAAGTATTTTGCGGAATTCGTTGGATCCTGAGTAATGGTGAATATGATAATTTCTGCAAATTACTTTCGGACACATCCACCCCCTCTCGCCAAGATTTCTTAAAAAGAGAAGCGAGCAGTACCTTACGCGGCCGAAGGCCGTGTTTACTATTTTGCGTTTTTCTCGAAAAATAATGACTTTTGGTAAAAAATGCATAAAACATGAAATGTGTGTTTTTTAGAGATCTACAACTTTCGTCTAAAACTTTTTTCGAAGTTTTTTGTTTTTTACGAGATAATCGAAAAAAACCATGATTTTATGGTGTTTTTTATGGTTTTTACCATGATAATTAAATTTCCGCCAATTTTCACTATGATTTTCGTAATCAGCGCACCAAATTACGTAGGGATACCAAGTTTTATCGAAATCAGAGGTATGTGCTATTCGGAACTGCACCCCAACTTTTTAATTGTTATACAAAATACATGCGACATAAACGCGGTTAACGTCATAGAAGATTAGGTAATCGTATTTTCGATATATTTTTTAAATTATCGATATATAATATATATAAATTAATTAATTATATTTATTACATGAATTTAAAAAGATTAAATTAAATTTTATTAAAATAATTTTAAAAACTGACAGTTTATTAATTATTCATTAAATTATTTTTATGTTAAAAAAGAAATTGCCCATGGTTAAGAAATGCCGAAATTCAAATTTATGTCAAATTAATTTTTAATCACTGAAACTTAAGTTAATCTATATCAAATAATTTTTAAATAATTTAATAAGTGAAATAATTAATTTTTTCGACTATTTCATTGTCCAATGATTTATGATATTCTTTTATTCTAATATTCTTTTTTTTTATATAGAAAATCAAATTAATATCAATGTTTAGAATAATATAAAAAAAATGATTAATCATTTTTTGATTGTTTTTATTCATGAAAAAAAAGATAATGGAGATTTTATGTCTAGTATGCAGTGAATGTTTAATTAATATTTAATTAATTACCTTTTAATTTGCACTTTATTGGTTAATTATATTGTGTCATTGGACTTTCACTGTATCATCATTTTTATAGGATTACTTTTTTTTCTCTTTTGTTCCTTTTACCTTTACAATTCGCTTGAATAAGTTTATACAATGTTGAACTATACACAAACACTTCAGTGCGAGGAACGTTTTACTAGCGCGATAAAGAAACTATTTCCTTTTTTTTTTTTTTTTTGTAAAGTAAAAATGAAAAACAAAATACTATCTACAAAACCATTTCATTTTTATTGAAGAAAGACTTTTTGAAAAAAGATATTCTTTATCTAATTTTTGTCGAAAAAAATTAAAAAAAACTCTTTAGAATTTTGTTTATAATTATTTCTTCACTAATTTCAATGAAATTTGATTATTTAATAAAATAATTATAAATAATTAATTTATAATAAAAATAATAAATAAAATATTTAAATAATTTATATAATAATTAAGTTCAAATTAGATGCTTTAATGACTTTAGGTATAATAATTATTGATAAGCGATTGTTCTCATTGAAATTGTAATAATAATAGAATTCTATAAATATAATGGTTACGGTGGAAAATTTTCCAAAAAAAATTGAAATACAGTGTCTTTGCTCTTTGTTCTTTTAATGAAGCAATAATAATCAACTTTAGTTTCTTCATTTTACAAGCCTATTGACAAATATGCTTATCGAATTGAGATAAAATTGTGTTTTCTATATTTCATTCACAACATTGTACATAATTCGGAAGCTAAGCTTTTTTTTTATTAAATTTGAAATTTTTCTTCAACTTTTACATATAATTCAAACCTCTGTGGTGGTATTTTTTTAATATTTCATAAATTTTTCGGAATCAAAAAAAAAAGAGTACGTGTTATAGAAAGATATTTTTGTTTATATAGTTAACAACCTTGATGTTGAAAACTAGTAATTATATTATGTCAGTGATAAGGATAAGAATTACGTAAATTTATACTGTAACATTATGAAAGTATATTAGTCATGGAAAGAAAATTTTTTCCCCATATTTTTTTTTTTTGAAAATTTTGTGCTTTACGATATAATTGGATTGGTATTGAAAATTATTTTTATTTATTTTTCTTCTTTTTTCATAAAAATATATTTATTATTAAAAACGTTTTTTTTAATTAAACTTAATTGAATAATTTAATTTACATCCACTTTGTTTGAATGCTACAAAATTTTGACCTTTTTGATAAACTTCAGCACCATGTGATATTGGACGATATGCCATCATTTTTAATTCTTCACCAATTTCTAAATGTTGACCCGATTTTCCCGAATTCAACCACTCGACATTTAGTAATGTATCATTTTCACCTATTGGTGTTGGATTTCTGAAAAAAATGAAAATTTATTATTGTTCTATATATTAATTTGTATTATATTATTAGTAAGAAAATAAATACGAAAAATTAAAAATTAATGGGCATCATTAAAAAATATTTTTATATATTAAAAAATGATAATTAGTATAATTACCCAAATTTTGCAAAATTCGTCCACATGCGAACCATTCGTTTTCTTATGATTGATACAGGATCATTGGGATCCAGGGTTGGATTAGCTAGTGAAATGTAGAACAGGTAGGCAAAATCATCCCCGTGTGCAGTTCCTGAAGAACGAATGTAATAACCGATAAATGTCGAAATAAGATTTACGTTTTCCAAACTACGATCGCGGAAATAATTCACGGCTCCCCCCCCCCTCTCTCTCTCTCCCTTTAGTGTTTGAGAATTTATTACTTTAGATCGAATTCGTATAGTCCAAAAAGAGAATTCAAATTTTTTACAAATTTGTACTTATAATTAATAAAAAAATTTAATAATTAACTTCAAATGAAATAAAACAATGGAAATAGAAAAAATTTTCTAAAAGAAATTAAATTTTTTTTACTGTAAAAGAGATAGAGAAATATAAGGAGTATAAATATTAAAAAAAAAAATTACCGTTCAAGTTGACGTGATATAAGACTTTATGCAAAGATTGTTCAGTGTCAAAAATTAAGCGATAATAATAAATTGGTACTAATTGGCTTTTTGTCAGTAGTCTTTGCTTAGTGTCAATTCCAGCCACAAACATTAAATCCGACGTCTCCTGTTTCCAAAAAAAAATCTCATTATTATTTTCGTTTGCTAAAACATTGTAATAATTTCAGATTTAATTCTATTAATAGAATTACATTTTTTATTATTATTAATAATACTAGTACTATTTTATTATTTATTAATATCGGTAGTTAATTAATTCATTAAAATTTTATTAATTAAAAGTAATTAAATCTTTATAAAACTTTAAATATTAAATTTTTTTTAAACTGAATTTTGCTTGTTAAAATAACGAAAACGTAATTTTCTTACATTGACGATTGTGCTGATAATGAGAGAATTAATATCAATAATTTTTTTTGATTGTCTATTCAAACATGAATCAATGTTTTCTAGCGATTTTTTTGAACATAAAACTCGATTCGCTAATTGAATTATTTTTTCAATACCTATAATGATAGTAGAAAAAAATAATTTTTAAATTAAATAAAATTTTGAAAAAAAAAGTTTTTTTTAGTGTCAAACGATGTAAATCGAATATTTTTTTCATATATTCATAATGTATATATACCACTAGCGAAATAGACTGTCTCCTGAGACGTGAAACCTGTTAAGTGAGGCACCTGGTAGAAATTTCCTGTATTATATTTTGTTAGGTAGCATTCTGTCATGAATTTTTCTTCCTTATCAGCAATATTAGGATCCTCTAAAGTTGGTCTAAAAGGGGGATTAATCTGAAAAATAAATTTTTTAAATACAAAATTTATTTAGTTTTTTAAAAAAAATTGATTTTTTTCCTTTATTTTAAAATCTTTTTAGTTTTTTCTGGATTCAATTGTTTTTTTTTATTTGCAAAATACAAAAAAATTTTACCGAACTGAGAAGCTCGGTTTTCTCCATAATATCATTAGCTGAAGTTTGGTATAAAAATTCTAATAATTCCTCTTTTTTTGATGTTTTCATGCCAAGGGAATTTCCGAGCTTAAAAGCTTGTCTTACAGCTTCTTCGGGTACGTGAAAAGCCCACGGACAAAAAACGGAAGCGCTCATTGATATCGATCGATGGAATAATCCTAATTCGAAAAATTTATTCTAATAAATTAAATAATTAATTAACTAATTAGTTAACTAAATTACTAATTAATTAAAAGTGTTATTTATAATATAATTTTTTTACAACCTCGGGACATTTCTGATAGTGAATGAAAATCCACTGAAACTCCACCAGCGCTTTGTCCAAAAATTGTTACATTATCTGGATTACCTCCAAATTTTATTATATTATTCTTAACCCATTTTAGAACAAGATTTTGATCCTTTAAACCCACATTTCCTGTGGCATTTGGATGTCCTAGTGACATAAATCCTAAAAAATTACATTTTGTAATAAAAAAATACAATTCCATATATTTTGCAAACAGAAAATGTGTATAATTAAATTGGTTTTAATTGCAATAATAAAAGGATCGTTAAAACCAGTATTTAATTAAATCAACAAAGTATTTTCTTTGAAGAAATTTCTAATTTGTTTAAACCACTAATTGTTATAATTTGCAATTATAAAGGTTAACAATTATCAATTTACAACAATTAGAAAATTATAAGAAAACTATTATCCTTGTTTATAGATTGAAAAAAACAACTATAAGATTTATATTTAATTTATAAAAAAAAGTAACTATATATTTAAAACGATTGAGGGAAAACAAGTGTTGACTCATTCTTATATAATAAATTTACTACAGTTTATATATATATATATAAAAAAAATGCGTGCAAAAAAAGTATAAGCAATGTTTCATAATAAATTATTTTCTATTTTCGCAATTGAAAGCCTCGAGAAGTTAATTCATTTTATCTTGAAGGTCTTACCGAATGGACCTAAACGATAATTGAAGGTAACCAGGACGACGCCTTCCTGAATTATAAAATCTGGTCCATAGAGTGAACTGTTTCCATATCCTGCACGAAAGGATCCACCATAAATCCATACCATAACTGGTTTTAATTCCACATCCTCTTTTATTAATTGTATCTAAAAAATAATAATAATTTATAAAATTAAACATTTATTTTTAAAAAAATATCAAAATCACTGTGAAGTATAAAATTCATATAATAAAATGAAAAAAAATTAAATGTGGAGAATAAAAAGATTGGTGTAATAAAATGCGACATAAAATTTTAATGAAATCAAATTAAAAATTATGTTGTAATTAAAAAAAAAATTACTCTTGTTGACAGGGAAATTATTTTTTTTAGGGTAAATAAAAAATGTTCAATTATTCATTGAAGTTAGATAATGTTATAAATAATTATATATGGTTATAAATTATTTTTTTTAAGCTCTTACGTGTGGCGTGTAAACATTTAGATATAAACAATCCTCTTTGCCGGTTAAGTTTCTATAAACAAAGTCAACTTGAACACAATTACTTCCTTCTTTTGTGGCTGATAAAAGTTCCGACCATGGTTTTTTTTCAATTGGAGGCTAATGAATCAAAAAATTCAAATATTAATTACTTAATTTTATAAATTTAAAACTTTAAAATTTAACTAAAACTTAAATTTTATTCCTTAAATTAAAAATTAAATTATAATTATACATATTTAGTTAAAACATACCCTAAATCTGTTATATCCGAGTGGTGCTTCTGCATACGGAATTCCTTTGAAAGATGAATATCTAACAGAATCCGTAATAGTCGTTAAAATTTCTCCTTGAACTGGTCCTTTTGTTGTTTCAACAATCTCGGATAATTCACAATTTACAAGACCAAAAATTAATATCAAAAAATAGACAAATTGAACCATTTTATTCTAATTTTACCTAAAAGAAAACAACAAATTTTTGCGCATAAACATTGTCTTAAAAATATAAAGTCATTTATTTAAATTAAAAACTTGTTAATTAACAATTAAAAAATTATTAATAAAATAATTAATGAAAATTATTATAGTTACAATTATTCATTACTTATTATTAAGATAATATTTTGATTAAAAATTACTTATTTATTTTTCTATTGTGTCTTATTGTTTCTGTATTTTCGTCTCAGTGTAACGAGAGGAGAAAATAAAGTGAATTTTTTTTTTTTGAACAAAATTAATCGAATGACCTAAGAAGCGAAAGTTTCGTTATTTAGAAATTATAAATTTTGCAAAAAAAGCGATGATTATTGCAGAGGATGTATAGACTCTGATTTAAACACGAATGTTCACTTTATTTTCTGTCGTCAAAAATGGAAGAAACATTAGCACACGATATTTGAAATTCGGTCAAGAATAATGTTCTTAATGGATTCGTACGTAAGACTATAAATATACTCGGTCTCTGATAAGTTCCCCCCATAAAAAATATACATAAATAGAAAAGTAAAAAAAAAAAGAAATTACCAATACTTGCTTGAAAAGGATTCATATTTTTTGTCGCGGAGAATTTTTCTTTATATATACCCACAATGCTCTTGACGAAAAAAAGACTGGGAAAATATTATCAGAATTTTATTTTTGCATTTTTTCTAGGAGGATAAAAAAGAATCTATTTTTACTATTTTTACTTATTCACGATTTATCTTTTCTTTTATTTCCTCGTAAAAAAAAGATTGGTGAAAGAACTATAGTGTCACTTGATAAGAAAAGTCGTAAATCAATGTTGAAAAATAATGAAAAGCAGAGGAAGAATAATAATTAGAAGGATAAAATTTGTAATAAAAAATATTGTTTAAATAAAATTTTGAAATTGTTATATAAAAAAAAATGGAAAAAGTTCCTGACATTTTTAGTTTACATTTAACAAATTTTATTATTTTACAAAATGAAATTTATACCGTGATGCGTGAATATAAAATTTTATTTTTTATAATTTAATTTTCCGAATCGTATACGCGTATATATTCGACATTCAATCGTTTAATTAAATTTTTCATTTGTTCGAAAATCAAACTCTAAATTTTCGAATTTACTGTCAGTTGAGTTACATCACACACACACACACACATACACACACGTATCATTGAAATCCTTTTAATTGCTTTAAATTCTTTCCGGAAGTAATAGCTTCATCTATTGACAGTAAATCGATATTATATATTGTCAGATATTAAAGAAAAAGTGATACGTAAAATTTATTTTTATATTTTTTGTAGCGAAAAATTTTATATAACGAAAAATCTAATTTATTTTCAATACAATAAAAATTTAGAGAAGAATAATTTAAAAAAATAAAAACTGACCAACCTGGTAAATTTTGAAAATTGTTTTTTTTTTTATTTTTCCATCGTTGATGTGTGCTGCTCTTTCAAGGAATCAGTAGTAAATAATCTAAGATTATTTTATTCCTTGATTCGTAGTCTCTCAATGCTTTAAAACGATTTTATCCGTTAGATAACATGAGCCGGTTTCTTCTTATGATCCTAATGTCATAGAATATGTAATTTTACATCATTGAATTTCAATAAATTTTGTAAATTACCTCTTGCAGGAGATGACAATAATTTATCTTTTATTTCGCAAAAGCAAACAATTTTTTTTACATATTATTTTTTATTCATGTTAAAAATATTTTGCAATTCAATTGTGTGTGAAAAATTGTATTTTGAAATTATAAAAAATATTTTTGCAAGTATTTAAAAAATAATTTTCAAAAATTTAACCCTAACTTTTACCCTTTGAGAGAAATAAAATTTAATTTGATATGAAAGTTGTTGGTATTGGAGCGGATATACAAGCTAAGAGCAGCACAATTTTTTTTTTTTTTTTTTAATCGAGTGCTAATACGTGACCAACTCTATAGACGAGGTCTGCAACCCTCATTCGGTAAAGTACGCAGATACTTCACTTTTATATATTTTATACCTATATTTCTCAATACACACATATGTGACCATTAAATTATTTCGTATATTACGTCAATTAATCAAAAACTTTGAATGACGATCTGAAAAATAATATAAATAATAAATAAATAATTATTTAAAAAAATTTGCAAAAGAGAATGAAATTTAAATTCAGAATTTTTTTTGATAATAATAAAAATAATAATAATTTTTTTACACTTAGGAAAATTAAATTACTTAAAGTATTTACAAATTAATTAAAATAAATAAATTTTATTTTTTTGGTGGATGGGAGATAATAAAACACAAATATGGTGAATACATTTTTTCTACGTTTCTATTTATTATGAAAATATAATACAAAACATCCTATGTTGTATTACATAGATAACAATGTTCAATTAACTTTTTTTTCTCGTCATCTTTTGTCGTAACATTACCATCCAACACTATGAGATAGGTAAAGTGTCGTTTTGGAGGAAAGGCCCGATATACAATCAGAGAGAGATAGATCATTCGACAAGATATACAAAGACAATATAAACTCAAAAAATTGAAAAACCAGTTTTATTTTTTTTTCTTTTTTTTCATCAACCTTTCAACGTTTCCTTCGTTTTGTTTCATTTTTTTTTATAAGTGACGGTTAAAAGCATTCGCAATAATATAATTAATAATAAGAAAAAAATTTCTTTTTCTTGTTTTTATAATTCTTATTTTTTCTTCCTGGCGTAATGTCTTCATACAATGGAGTTTTGTATTAGTTCTAGATTACAAATTAATACAAACTTGTAAATATCGTTAGTAATAAATGAGTTTCTCGTTAGTGAGAAATAGAAGCTTAAAGTTAATCATCTAGCGTCACTAACATTTTTTTTTATTTTTTTTTTATTTCACACCGTGCTACAAATACGTCCTCTACTTCTTTTTTTCATAAATGACACTCAACACTCAGTTCTCTTTTTTATTGAACAATTGAAATTTTTTACAATAATTTTGGACTGATTTGCAATTTTTGGATAAATTATAATTATTAATTAATAAATAAATTTTACTATTTTATTTATTGTTAATTTTATATTATTGAGTAATTAATTAATCGTCTAATTTATTAACTAACTAATAAATTAATTAATTAACAAATTAATCGATTACGATTCCAGTTATTTTTTAAAATAAGATTTTCGTAAATATTCTGAGTCTTGTGCACCGAATATGAAAAAACCTAATCATTAGCACTCTATTATTTATTTTTTTTTTTTTATTTAGTCTATATATATATCACTACCTTATTAGGCGAAATCTATGCAGCTCGGACCTTTTTTTTGTTTTGCACTCTCTCATTTATTTATATTCTCTCTATTTCTTTCTTCCTCTCTATACTCATTTTCTCAATCCTTTTTGAGCAATATCGAATTTAGATCAATATTTGAATTAGTTAAGGAAAATATTGAAAAAAATAATTAAAGAATCGAGAAAAAATGAAGGTGGGAAAAAAAGTCCGAGCTGAAGACAGAAATCGTAGTTTAGGCATTAATAATGTCTAGTGTTCTCTACGTAAATGCTAAGTACATCTTTTAGCACTACGGTTAGAATAAGTTTTGATAACAATATAAGTTGTGTATTCTTTCACAAAATATGACATTACGAATTTTTTTACTTTTTACCTTCTTCAAATTGCTTTTTTTTATTTCAATATAATTTTTATTTTTACCGGCCTTTTTTGTAATTTTTCCCAATTTTTTATATTAATTTATTAATTTTTGTAATTTATTAATAATTAAATTGTAACTGTTCTCAAAGAAACAGGAAAAAATTAAAATAAACATGTAAAATATAATTTTACTAATTTTCCGATATTTCATAATTTCATATTTTCTGAGAAGGAAAGTCGGCATAATTTTTTTTTATTTTTTTTTTTTTTTTAATAATATGCGTCAATCCCAAAGACGTACACCACGCGACGGAGAATAAAGTATTTCAAGAAGTATCACATATTATACATTGAGAGAAAAATTCGTAGACTGATCGTCAGTCAATTGTTGAGTAAAACGACGTTTATTTACATGTCAGAAAAAATTCGATGTATATATATTTTCTTTTTTTTTTATACAACTGATGAAAAATGTTTTTTATTCGACGTCTCTGGGACTTGATGTTATACTCTATATGTAATATATTTTTGTATAACATTGTGTATATTAAAAGCTTAAAAGCTTGTGTGTATGTGTATGTGTAATTGGAAAATCTTGTACTAGGTCTTCAATTTAATCTTTAATGCTTGGTTACCTTTTTTTATTTTTTAATAAGTACATTTTTAAATCGTTTATTATACCTGCTTTCTGCATTAAATTTTTTCTTCTCATTAATATTCTAATATTTGCTCTTTTTTGTATTTGTGGCAGCATAGCCCTACGCAGAATATTCTTACTTTTTTTCAAAACCCTTAATTATATATTCTATATAAATACGAGTTTTCTATAAGTGTTTGTCACTTTTTTTTCTTCTTTTTAAATTCACGATCGCATTCTATTTGCAATTTAAAAATCGATTTTTGCAATAAAAAAAAATTCTACTTCAAAAATGCTTTTCTTTATACAAACTAAATAATTTTGCAATTAGGGACAATTTTTTAGAAATAAAATTTTTTTCCTCAAAAAAAACTCATATCCTTCCTTCAGTTGGTAATTTAGATCACGTTTTTATCGACAGTATTATGGAGGCCGTTTGGCAAGTAAATTATATGCAATGCAGTTTTCTGTAATGGCACTGTACCATCAGTCGGTCAATGTGCGATCTAATTTACGGACTGACGGTTTATTTATTTTAAAAAAAGGCAACGAATAATGATAATAATAAATGTTTCATCTACCCGTTAATATAGATATATATTTATAATTTTTTTTTGTCATCATTTTCTCATATTTATATATGTATATATATTATAATAGTTAAATCGATTTCTCGTTTTAATATCATTTTATATATATTTATTAAAGTATTTTCTATAAATATAGTTAACTTCGCATTTTTTTTTACCGTTTTTTTACTGCATTTTTTTTGTGTTGCGTGTATATATACTATACATATATTTATAATGTTGTTGAGTAAAAGCTAGAAAATATGGATACGATTTTTTTTTCTTTTCTTTTTTTTTTTTTTAATATTTTTTATAATGTTATAATTTGCCCCACTCTAAGACAATAAATGTTTGTTTCTCAGCTCTACTATATAAAAAAAACTATAAAGTTATATTAAATTACGGGAAGCGTAACTTGTGTGTTTAGCTTTATGTTTTTGGACTTTATGGGCCTTATCTGATATAATAATAATAATAATAATAATAATAATAACTTATATCGCAAAAATTGATTTTCCACTAATTGAGTCGCATAAGCAACAATGTCTTAATTATAATTTTTGTAATTTTTTGTTGAATCTTTTATCAAAAACAAAATCGTGCCTTTTGTCATTTTTTGGGCTCGATTTTTATTTTGCTTTTAAATATTTATTTCGATGTTTTT